GGCTTGTAATTGTTACCATCTCTCCAGGAGGCTTAGGGAACAGGTCGAAATTGCACCATTTGATGACGTATCTACGACTTGGGGATTTGGATACGCCCAGATGGCTAGGCAGTCCCTCTTGAAGAATTCATGTATATCGCGACATGGCACCGTCTTTACGCTCATGACTTCGTAGTAGACCTCACAGCACGCCGGTTAGACACCAGGCAGTACAGGTATCTAGACGTGGTTCTTTTGCTCTCAAACAACTATTTCACACTCAAACCGCTCGCCGTCCCCGCCCCCTTTGCCCCAGCCTTGAGGCATCATTGTTAATCGAGGTATCTATCATACCCCCTTGAATCCTGGTACAGTCCGTCGTGCCAGACACACCAAATACTGACATGAGCAAAGTAAAGCCCTAAACTGCAACCAAACGCCAAAAAAGATCTACCCACCTGTCCTGCCAAATACCTGCCGATCAACCCAAAGGCCCTGTGCCATTTTGCTTACTTCTTCCTGCCCTTCTTGCCCTTGGTAGAACCTCCTGCATTAGACGCGGTGGACGCCACGCTGGATGCTCTTGATGGAGTGGCCGAGCTGTTCTTGCTTGACTTGACTGACTTGACATTGTCGAGAGCCTTGTTCTGTAGATTTTGTTAGCAGCATGTCAATGGTAAGAAAGCTCTGTTATGCATACCTTGACACCGTTCTTGGCCTTCTTCTTGGCAGGGGCCATTCCAAGAATGCTGTCCTCGTCATTCTCATCGTCGGGCTCTCGCTTAGCCTTTCCGTTCACTCCATTAGAACCACGGGCGGGAACATCTTCGAATTCCTTGACGATGGTCGTAATCAGGGTAGTGCAGCGTCGGGAAAGCTCAATAGGCGTTCGGCTGAGGAAGAACCAGTCGAATTTGAACAAGGGGGATTCACGGATATCATCCCGCATCTTTTCGTACAGGCCTTCCGAGTCGATGCCATATCGATCGAGCAGGACCAGAAGGAATCGATCTTCCTCTTCCGTGTAGACCTTCTTGTTGGTTGTGGACACAGAGTAGTTGATCTTGAGCTGCTGTAGGGGGACTCTGTACTGCTGCATCTTCTTCCTCAGGAGCTTCTGGTGGTGTCCGAGACGTCGGGTTCGTTCCTCTCCGTCCTCGATAGTCTTCATGTACTTGGGATAGTCTGCAATCTCGGTGTACCGTTGCCAAAAGACCTTGGCATAGGCCTTGATTTCGGCCGCAGACTTGCTGTCAACCTCCTTGGAGATGCCTTCATAGGCAGTTCTGCCGTACTTGCCGGATCCGTTGACAAACTGTTGAAAGTCGCGTCGGTTCCACTCTCCAAATCCTTGCAACGACAGCTTCTCCTTTTCCTCGCGCTCTTCCTCGGTCAGGGGGGTGGCGTTGTCGATCTCTTGCTGGTCGAGAGCTCTCTCAGCTTCTCGCTCCGACAGGTTGTCATCATCACCATCTGGCAGAGGCACCTTATAGCCAATCTCCTTTCGGTAGTATGCAGTCTCTCTGTCCTGGAGATCCCTCAGACGCGGTGGGTAGAACTGATAATCGTGTACTGGAACTTGCTTCGGTGCTCGAGGCGCCTTGGGCTTCGCATCCGCCTTGGGGTTGGGGTACATGGTCTGTCGGAAATACTTATCCATCGAATACGACTGTTCCTTGCGTTCTCGCTTCGCCGGGTTGATCCAGGTCATGTTGATGTTCTTCTTGGTATTGGCAAAGTTCTCTCCATTCCACTCGTAAGCCGACTCCGAGGTGAACTTTTGTAGATCATCGATGCCGAGCTTCTCATACTTGGCATTCAGCTGCTTGGTTCGGTTTTCACCTCGAGCCAAGATCTCATCAATGTCGGCGTCACCGATTTCAGCGTCCTTGGAAGCCATGTTACCAGTAGGTCCCTTGGACTGGAACACCTTCTCAGCTCCGTGTTGAATCATCGACAGAAGTTCGTCCTTGTTTGCAGCAGCCTTGGCGGCAGTCTGAGCACGACCTTGCTGAATGACAAGCTGGTCCAGGCGGAGCTTCTGTGCCGCTCTCTCCAAAACCTTCTCCTCGATAGCATTATCCGTGACGAACCTGTACACAACAACCTGCTTGGTCTGACCGATTCGGTGCGCTCGGTCCATGGCCTGTAGATCTGCCTGGGGGTTCCAATCACTGTCATAGAGAATGACAATATCAGCGGTTGTCAGGTTGATGCCCAGACCACCGGCTCGGGTTGTGAGGAGGAAGATGAACTTCTCTGAGCCGGGCTTGTTGTACTCGTCGATGGCTGCAATACGGTCCTCGTGTGCTGTGCCACCATCGATACGACAATACTTGTACTCGCGGAAGACACAGTAATCTTCAAGAATATCAAGCAGTCGGCTCATCTGTGAGAAGATGAGAACGCGGCTACCTTGCTTCTCAAGTCTGTTGAGGAGCTTATCAAGGACAGCCATCTTGCCCGCATTGTACACAAGATGCTCGTCGGTAGTGTATGGAGGACCAGGCTCAGCTCCCTCAAACAGGTAAGGATGGTTGCAGCACTTTCGAAGCTGCATCACAATGTTGAGGAGTCGGGTCTTGGACTCCCGCTTTCCACCAGCTCCGTTGACCGCGTCGATGTCCTTCTCCAGGATCTTCTGGTACCACTTGACCTGCATCTCTGACATGCCTAGATAGACGTTGACTTCCTTCTTTGGCAGCAAGCTCTTTTCAACATCGCTCTTCACGCGACGGAGCAAGAAAGGCCGAAGGACCTTGTGGAGTTGTTGAACAACAGTGTCTTGATCGCGGTCCTGGCCTGAGAACCACTGATCAAAGGCCTCAGAGTCGCCAAAAACGTCGGGCAGCAAGAAGTTGAGAAGTGCCCACAGCTCGTGCAGGTTGTTTTGTAGTGGAGTACCTGTGATGAGGAGTCGGTTTCGGGACGAGAAGAGTCGGATCACTTGTGACAGTGAAGACTCTTCGTTCTTGATTCGATGCGCCTAAATACTGTTTAGTATAGTTGCATTCACTTTGCGTAGAGTGACAAACCTCATCGATGATGATGTACTCCCAAGCAAACTTCTTCAGGTGTGCCTTCTCACGGAGCACCATCTCGTAACTGGTAATGCAAACATCAAACTTCTCATCCACAAGGCGATCGTTGATCAGGTTATGTCGCTCTTCCTTTGCTCCCTGAAGCACCAGAACATCCACCTCTGGGGTCCATTTGGCAAACTCTCGCTTCCAGTTGTCGAGAGTAGACTTTGGTACGATGACCAAGTGTGGTCCAGTGATGTCGACGATGTGTCGCAGGTAGCCGAGGAAAGAAATTGTTTGGAGCGTCTTTCCAAGACCCATTTCGTCGGCGAGGATACCAGAGATACCGTTCTCGTGGAGGGAGATCAACCAATTGAGACCAGCAACCTGGTAGTCGCGCATAGTACCCTGAATGAAGGGGGGCGACTCTCGGAAAACAGTCTCGGCAGAACCACCATGCTTCTCGTCCTTCAAAAGTTCGGCATCTTCTTCGGCTTCCGTACGTCGGCGTCTGTCGCTCGTGGCGCCTCCTTGCCTTCCAGCGCCCTTCTTTCCCCTGGCAGCCTCGGCATTCTGTCGATCAATCTCGGTCATAATATCGCGGATCTTTGGATCGGGATTCGTCTCGATGAAATGACGGAATAGATCGGTGAGGCCAAGCAAGTATCGGAATCGGCGAATGGTGTCATCTTCCTGTGGATAAGAAGTCAGCATAATGGTGGATAGTTGCAGCCTTGTCCCAGAGGGCTTCGAACCTTGGACTCGCCCAGGCGATCGTGCTTCTTTCCAAAAATGCTTCGACGTAGTTGGTTAACCTCCGTGCGGCGCTTTCGGCCATCTGTAGTGGGCTCTCCGGCGACACTGCTAGCAGTGGTGCTGGGGTTCTCGGTGTCTGTGTAGTCGGGAGTCTCATCGACTTCCTGGAGCGGGCCATCAGTAACGAGCTCTCGCGTCGCAAATGAAGAGCAAAATGCAATTCAATAGTTGAACTCACCATTTCCTCCTCCTGGCGGTGCTCCGGCGCGTCTGACATGGACGCGTCGGTATCCACGGCGTTGGCTCGAGAGCGAGGCGCCATTGTGAACCGAGTGTGAGTAGGACCTCTTTACGCGACTGGCGTCGAGGAGACGCGTTTGGAGATGGTGCAGAGAGAAGCGCAGTCCAATGCAAGTGATCCAAATCGCTTCTTGTATCTTCCCGGGGACGTTTTCGACGAGGATTTGAAGTCGGGACGGGGATCACGCCGCTTCGTTACTTGGAGAATGTGTAGATGTTTTTTCGAAGGTGCCGGCGGGTAGAATCTCGACGGGCACCTTGAAGGGGGACGGTTTGGGGCTAGTGCCACTGTGCGACCCCTGTCATCGACTGGACCTCATAAAGCGGCCCCACGATCCCTGAAGGAAGAAGGAATAATCCGAGCAGTTTTCAACGACGTCACTGAACAGCTGTTGTTAAATCGAAGCGAAAACAACGAGATTGCTGGAATTATCTCTAAAAATTTCACCCCAAAATCTATTACAAAAAATTTGAACCCTTCTCAAGCACGGCATCGCAACTCCTCAACTTGCAACACCAATTTGAAAAGAACGTCGATCCCTTGGGGCTCACGTGACATACCGTCCCCCCCACTCCACGTGCAAACCCCCCCTCGGTTAGTGCCGTTCAGGCTCTGTGCGGCGTTGAATGGGTGGATGACTGGGCGAACTTCGTCGTGACCCAACGTTTGGTTCATCCAACGACTCGATATCTTGGGAGGCATAGCTCTTCCTGAGCGACCTGCATACAATTTGTTTGACTCTTGTGCTTGGGGAAACACTTTTCTCCCCCTCTATTCTGTTTGTTGACGACATCTTGGGCGCCAAAATACCGCTCCCAAGCCTACCGGCCTCAACCCTAGCGACTACCTACCAGGTGAGGCGATTAACCCTTCAAGCTCCCGAACCTTTCTAATATTGCCCTTCCAGCTCTCTAGCTCCTGTACCAGTCACAGTGTCTACCATGGAAAACATGCGGGGCGTCACTGCCGGCCCTGGCAGGCAGTCTGCCCAGCAGGAATCCCCTGAGCAGCTACTCGACGTCTTCAAGGCAGCGGCGCTATCCGTTACGAAACTGTACAAGACTTCTGCGGCCGCACAATCGAAGGCTCGGGCCGATGGGTATCAGGACTGTCTATATGATATGCTGGCGTTTTTGGACAAGGAGACTACGGGAACAGGTGACGGGGATGGCTCAAAGATTCGGAGATGGGTTAGGGAGAGGCTTGATGGCCGGGAGAGCAGCTCGCCAAACACCGAAAGCGAGGACGAAGTCGACAAAGCAGAAACATCTTCATCACCCGAACTCACTCGCCCCAATACCGTTGCCCAGCAGTTGAGCCAAATGCGAACCGACTCGGCACCTCCAAGCGTCCCTCCTACTGCTACTGTTGAAGAACAAACACCACTTGTGGTCCCTTCCCAAGACAATTTCACGTTCCAGTCTGCGCATCCGTATCCCAATATCGCCACTCTCAACCTTTCCGACTCGAGACCTCACGATGGCTCGTCTATGACGGCGACAAGGCCGTCCAAAGCCCGCTTGAACAACCCAGGTCGAGCATGTCCCAGAGGGCCAGGACATTTGGCACAAAGGGCTGGAGCTAAGCGCAAGTTGAACTTTGACGAGATATTCGATCTTGGCAGCCTGGGTGGAAAGGATCCTTTCGGCAACGGAGGGGGGAAGCGAGGCCGGCATGCTTAGTGCTCGGCTGGTGGACACAGGTACCTTTGGCTTGCGCATAGCACACTTATCACTGGGCAATGGAATTCGATAAACTGGATGGGATGAGGGCATGTTTACAGACGGACGCATGGACTAGCATTAGAGCATGGGCGGCGTTTGGAGGACGTAACGACTGCATTTGGGGGTGTTGAGGGTTTACACACACAATGTCTATTGGCGGTTTGCCATGATATCTACAACGAATATGATTATTTAACGATGATTTGGATCTAAACATTACTCTCATGAGGCCTCAAGATCTTTCCTGCTTGCCTCCCTATCTACTATTAATAGATGGGCTGCGAGTTCATCAACATGGTCATCTCTTCTTCCACTCCCTGGACGACAATGCTAGGTCAGTCAGGACAGCATCCGGAGAAGCCACTGCCAATATACAGGCAGCCTCTGCCAGATGATGCAGATGAAGCTTTGTTGTTACTGGTACCCGCTATTACTGAGAGCCTCGTCAAAGCCACCAAGGCTCACCTGAACGATAGCTAAGCACGAGGCGGAATGCACGATATTGTATCTAAAAATGGCATAGAACTATAAATATTGCAGTAGAGACAAGGGAGAAAGAATAATCAAGCATGCAAGTTCGATTTTAAGTTTCCAGCAACATGGTTCTAACATCTAGAGGTTATTAGAGCCTGTTTTGTCTCTCCATGCAGGCACTGGTGAAACTTGTTATCAGGTCAAACCTAAGGACCAGTAGGTGACAAATCTCATATCAGGAGAGGATAATGATAGAAAAAGATCTGTCATCTGGAATGACATGGGTAATGGGTCTTTTGACCTGCCAACCTGTGAGAAGCTCAAACAAGGGTTCACATGGGTGGATGAACATTGTTCCAGTTGTGTGTTGGCTTCAAAGACTGTTCTCTGCGATCAAAGCTGTCAGTGGATGGATGCTCACTCCGCCCTTGCCCTTTGTTGACTATGTAAAGTCAACAAGTTAACTTTAGATGACGACAACTTCAAGCGTAGTACGTATACATGTCCTGTCAACTGCGGTTCGCCAGAGAACAATACCACCCTACTGTATTGCGCATACGCGGGCGGACGATTAACCATCCCTGCTTACTCTATGCGACCTGCTGCTTGTCATCAAGACACGACAGGCGATCTCAACCATTGTAGGTGTGGCGTCGACGCAATCCACGAGACATTGTTGACGTCTCCCTGGGTGGCTCAGCACCCTGCTCGCACGCACGCAAGCAAGCCACCAGAACTTGGCGATCTGCCTACAGGTACTCCGTACAGTACCTACGCAGTCTGACAGGAGCGAAGACGCGTGCGAATGCGGGCTCAGTTTCAGCTCGGCGGATGGGCGTAGGTAGTGGTTTTCTATTTGACAGGGGCTGCAAGAAAAGATTTGACTTCCGACGCATACTCGTGTGAGAAGCAGGTTTCATCCTCCACCTTGTTCTATGCAGGTCTGGGCTGCAGTTCTGCCAGGGAGCAAGCAAACAATAAGGCCACCAGCGATTGAGCCAGCACCAACAGCAAGGCATCCATCCATCTTGGCCAGATTGCAAGCGCCCTGGCCAAGCAAGCGCCGGGTGATCCCATCCCTCAGCCTGAACAGGACTGGGCGCCTGGTGAGAAGCTGTGCCGGCGAGCCGTGCTCTACAACATTGTCCGTACTCCATGTCGGATGCCCAAGGAGGCAGTTGGGAGTCATACTGTGGCTCGGTGCTTCATGTATTCGCCATCGTGCTGTGCTGGCTGGACCCACGCCCATATAGATGGAATTCATAAGCATTATCTATGAATTCCTCATCAAGGCAAAAAGAGTGCCGAGGCTGGTGTGTTTTGTCATCTGAGGCTGGGCCTGAGGCACAGACGTAGAAGGTACTGTTTGGTTCTGCCACCAGAAAGGTACCTCCAAGACCCATGGCGGTATGGCGGGCTGCCTCCCCTCCCCGCCCGCTCTTTGGCTCTGAGCATGCCTCGACCTCTGATTCTCCAGCCATTGGATCAAGTTGGACACTCGCTCAATGAACGCTCAGCGCAGTGGAGGCAACAGGAACCTTTGGTAACCACTAATCTCGGGTTGTCTAGGCACTCTGGTCCACCAAAAGGCCCCCGGCCACCCGGCCTGTCTACCCGCCAGGGCGCATTGGATGGCGGATGGGACTGGAAACAATGGAAGGTCGATTGGATTCCTCTAGGCACTTTCTGCCCGCTGAGCTGCCTGTAGTTTTGCCATCTGCCCCTGCTGGAAGCCCGATGTATCATCCTGGTGGCATCCATGGAGGTACCTTCCCCCCCTCCCACCACCACCTGCACCGCTGAGAACTATCCCCGTCTCGTCCAAGGCCCCATCCTCCGCCGCCCTCACGTCCTCCCATCATCATCAACACCAACCACGACGCAGATACTCTTTCACCAGCCCACTCGTGGCGACGTGGGAACTACCTAACTATCGCCGACCTACTTCCGTCTCTACTCCTCTCCAAAAACAAAATTTCTTCTCCCGCTGTCGCGCTGTTCTCGTCTCTTTGGCTTCAAAACGCCCGTCTCGCGTGTCTATTCTCTTCCCGTTCCGGCCGCCGCCTCCTCGCTTTGGAAGCGGGGAGTCCGTGTCTGGTCTTTAGGCCCGCCGCCCGTGCACAGCCTCAACCTCCCCCCATTGCCCCAACTCCAGCGTCGTCAACTTTCTCCAGCCGAATCCTCCTAGTCGATCCCGTCCTTTGAACGCCTCTCCCTGATAAGGCTTCGACTGCGCGTCCTGCTCCGGCCATCAGGAAGGATATCCATCAACGTTGTTGTCCTTGCTGTGACCTAGTCCCTCGCTGCGCTGCGCAAGAGGTGACACCATGACCAGTCGCACCGATTCCGGGCTGCCCAAGTAGGTTCATTCCCAGCCGCCCATCCATCGCATCGCGTTCTGCGCCTGCGAAGGGGCATTCTATCCATTCGGCCCCTTCACGATACATGTGCTAACGGTTCTGCAGCAGGGCCAACCTTCGGGTTACGAGTGAGTCGCTCTCGTCCTTATACCCCTCCGCCCGAGTTCCTCTGTTGACATCATCCTAGTTATCGCCGCCGACGGTCTCTATAAGAGGGATGTTTTCCGTACGTCGTTCCATAGTAAACAAAGACTCGAGCTCCTCGTTAACACGCACCAGGCTTCCCCGACCCCTTCGCCGTCGCAACCATCAACGGAGAGCAGACGAAGACGACGACCGTCAGCAAGAGGACTCTCAACCCGTACTGGAATGAGAGCTTTGACTTGTAACGTGCCCCGCCACCCCAAACCTAGGACTTATCAGACTCACAGCCTGCAGCCGTTCCAACGAAGATAGCATTTTGGCAGTCCAGGTCTTTGACCAAAAAAAGTTTAAGAAGAAGGACCAAGGTTTCCTGGGCGTCATCAATATCCGAGTTGGAGATGTCATGCCCGAACTGAGTGCGGACGCTGACGGTCAGTTGACCTGTGCCACCTCCTCGACACTTGGAACACCCTGCTGACATAGACATGCGCCTTTCCAGACCAGATGCTTACACGAGATCTGAAGAAATCAACCGATAACCTTGTTGTTCATGGCAAGCTAATCATTAACCTTTCTTGCAACCTCAGCGCCCCTGCTCGCGGTGGTCAAGCATCGTCAACTCGACCCTCACTCGGCGCCGGCCCCTCGAACCTTTCCTCCCTCTCCGCACCCCCCTCAGAGAACCGCCCAGGATCCTCCATGTCCGGACCAAATGGAGCTGCCAGCTCGCAGGTCAACCTGCCGCACCGGCCTTCCAGCATCAACTCTGTTGGCGGCGCCAGCGCTCCTGGGCCAAATGCCGGTGGACAACCTCGGCAGTCAAACCAGTTGAGTCCATTCGAGGATGCACAGGGGCGTCTGCCTGCTGGTTGGGAACGCCGTGAAGACAACCTCGGACGTACTTACTACGTTGACCACAATACTCGAACGACGAGCTGGAACCGTCCGACTTCGACTGGCACCCAGCAGGAACAGCGAAACGACAGAGAGGCGGCCACTCAGGTGGAGCGACAGAGACACCAGAACCGTACCCTACCTGAGGACCGAACTGGCTCCAACTCGCCTACTCTTCAAGCACAGCAGCCTCAGCAATCATCATCCCCGACCGCTAACGCCGGCGCGGTGATGCACACCGGGGCTACAAGCCCAGGCTCTGGCGAGCTACCACCAGGATGGGAACAGCGATGGACGCCTGAGGGTCGACCCTACTTTGTTGATCATAACACCAGAACTACCACTTGGGTTGATCCGCGCCGACAGCAGTATATCCGCATGTACGGTGGCCAGAACAACGCCAACGGACAGATTCAACAACAGCCAGTATCGCAACTCGGCCCCCTTCCAAGTGGCTGGGAGATGCGCTTGACGAACACAGCTCGTGTCTACTTCGTCGACCACAACACTAAGACCACAACCTGGGACGACCCACGACTTCCGTCATCACTCGACCAGAACGTTCCTCAATACAAGCGAGACTTCCGAAGAAAGCTCATCTACTTCCGTTCCCAGCCGGCGATGCGCATTCTCAGTGGACAGTGCCATATCAAGGTGAGGCGATCTCACATCTTTGAGGACTCGTTTGCGGAAATTACTCGCCAATCGGCTACGGATCTGAAGAAGCGGTTGATGATCAAGTTCGACGGTGAGGATGGTTTGGATTACGGTGGTCTCTCGCGAGAGTTCTTCTTCCTCCTTTCACACGAAATGTTCAACCCCTTCTATTGTCTGTTCGAGTACTCGGCCCACGACAACTACACCCTCCAGATCAACCCTCACTCTGGAATCAACCCGGAACATCTGAACTACTTCAAGTTTATTGGCCGTGTCGTTGGTTTGGCTATCTTCCACCGCCGATTCCTGGACGCCTTCTTCATTGGCGCCCTCTACAAGATGATGCTTGGAAAGGCAGTCGCTCTTGCGGACATGGAGGGTGTTGATGCCGACTTCCACCGATCTTTGCAGTGGATGTTGGACAACGATATTTCGGGTGGGATTTTGGAGCAGACGTTTTCGACCGAGGACGAGCGCTTTGGAGTCATGACAACGGAGGACCTCATTCCCAACGGACGAAACATTGATGTCACCAACGAGAACAAGAAGGAGTATGTTGATCTCATGGTCAAGTGGCGAATCGAGAAGCGCATTGCAGAGCAGTTCCAGGCGTTCAAGGAGGGCTTCCAAGAGCTCATCCCTCAAGATCTCATCAATGTCTTTGATGAGCGTGAGCTTGAGCTTCTGATTGGCGGTATTGCTGAGATCGATGTCGATGATTGGAAGAAGCACACCGACTATAGAGGATACACTGAGTCGGATGAGGTTGTCCAGAACTTCTGGGCGACGGTGCGCTCGTGGGATGGAGAGCAAAAGTCTCGACTACTACAGTTCACAACGGGTACTTCCCGAATCCCTGTCAACGGATTCAAGGATCTTCAGGGCAGTGATGGCCCCCGACGATTCACGATTGAAAAAGCAGGAGAGATTACCAACCTACCCAAGGCACATACTTGGTAAGTCCAGTTTGATATTTCGGAGCGAGAGACAAGACTAACAGCGAATAGTTTCAACCGACTCGACTTGCCCGCTTATAAGAGTCTAGAAATGCTTCAACAGAAGCTCACGATTGCTGTTGAAGAGACAATGGGCTTTGGCCAGGAGTAGACGAGACGACAAAGGCACCACTGTTTGGTGGAGATATTGAACTTGCAACATTTACACTACCTAAAGGCGACTGCTGTGGCGTTGCCCTTCAAGACAGCGACCTCTTCTCTCTGCCCCTTCCTCTCGCTCACACACACACAAACTGTTTTGGGTATTTGCTTTGGTTCAAAGAGTGGACAGACCTGGGTCGTTTGGCGCTGGTGGATTAATTGACGTTCAACATGCGATTGATGCAACCCCTGTTTCCCTCTCTGCGCAAGCTCAGAAGCGTAGCGTATAGACCAGGGACGGCATCCAAGCCTCGTCGCCCTAGCGGACGAGATGGGCATGCCTCGTTGGGTTTGCTCTGTGGTGGGACGCCCTCGTGGGCATTGTGGAATTCTTACTCTACAGCTTAATCGAGGTGGACACCAGAATCGACGGGGCCCAAGCAAGGATGAATGGTGATCGATGCTGTTTTGACAACTGGAAAAGAGAGTCTGTACCTCTGTGTATTACGTACGATGTCGACGGACGAGACGGATGGAGCCAGCGAATTTAGGCGGAGGGAAAGATAGGGTTCACAGCGCCTCCTTTTTTAACATTCATCATATACTATACAAGAACGTTCACTACGTAGATGCTGTGTCTTTTGGGTGTGTTTGTGGTCGTATCGGCTGTCCCATTCGAGGTATCAAAGCACCCTGATAGATGGAGTTGTGACCTATGAGATGGATACATATCTTCAACTCGGATGGAGGAGTGTGACATCATCATCGAATACCTCTAGTGTCTTGATATCCCGGACTAATGTGATTGTTGCAAAGAGCCCATGTCAAGTACCTAGGGACGGTATCATCTAGCTGGTTATTTTCATTCACATATCGTTGCCATCTTCAACATTGGTGAATCAGCCATTCCCAAGTTAGTCCTTCAACTACGAATCACAACCCAGGCATGTTGTTTCCGCATATCTAACCTAGTGCGGTCACTGCGTGGTGTTGTACAAAATTGCATTTCCTTCTACCATTCTACCGGTGGGAACCCCAGTATGTACACCCGGTAACAACAAAAGAAAGACGTCTTTGGTGCCGCCATCCTCTTTACACGGCCTCTTTGATTCCTCTCCCTGATCAATGCACTCCAAAATCATCCAAATCCTGACAAAATGGGCCACACCAGCACCTCGGTGTGTCTTCTGTCCCAGCCCTGCTGTCCAATCCTTCCTTTTGCCTCGTGGCCTGTCGTCCAAAACCAAGGGGGCAGGCAACTCCTCAACCATGCTCACTCCATCTCTTCATCGTCGGTACCACATGCGGGTGATCTTGGTGTTGCGCATCTTGCGCTGGAGCTGGAAGATGCCGTACATGAGGGCCTCGCTGGTGGGGGGGCATCCGGGGACGTAGACGTCGACGGGGACGATACGATCGCAGCCGCGGACGACGCTGTAGCTGTAGTGGTAGTAACCTCCACCGTTGGCACAAGAGCCCATGGAGACGACCCAGCGGGGGTCGGGCATCTGATCGTAGACCTGTCGGAGGGCGGGAGCCATCTTGTTGGTGAGGGTACCGGCAACGATCATGACGTCGGACTGTCGGGGAGAAGCTCGGAAAATGATACCGAGACGATCCTGATCGTAGCGTGGGGTGGAAAGGTGCATCATCTCGACGGCGCAGCAGGCAAGACCGAAAGTCATGGGCCAGAGGGAGGATTGACGAGCCCAGTTGGCTATCACATCGAGGGTGGTACTGCGGGAGGTTCAATTAGCTCCAGGTCATGGATGACGACGCAATTGAGTTCGGAGAAGATAAATATCAAGACGGTCGAGTATCGTAAAGGGACGGGCCACGTACAGGGCGTATTGGATGACGCTCTTGGTACCCTCCTCACTGGGAAGAGGGACCTCCTTGCGGGCCTTGGCAAGACCCGAGGAGACCGAATGGGTCTGCAGGGCACTGGCATCGCGACGAGAATTGGTCGAGAAGGCGGCGGTGGTGGTTCGGAAGGGGGCAATGGCCATCGAGGGCTTGACTACAAGGCGGTTAACGAATGTCGGCATCGCGACGGGTCCCATCTCCGAGCCAGCGTCACAAAAAACCCGCCGGGCCGGGGAGGGATTGTATGTCGCTCTCTATTAGAAAACACGCACCTCGGAGGGCCATTGCGGCCGCGAATCGCGAGGCGGGAAGCATCTTGCGAGAGTGGACGAGTCGGCGGACGAGGCGGCCTCGATCACTCGGGTTCAAGAGGAGGGGAGACTGGGGTGCGAGGGTCGACAATGGCGTTGGCAAGAGAGGGAAGCTTTCGGTGCTTCGAGGAGGATGGGATTCGCCTCTCTTTGCTTGCGGACCTGGAATAAGATGTCTCTGATTGGTCAGAGGTAAGCTAGAGAGTCCGGGGATTAGCCGGTTCGGTCTGGTGATGGATAACCTCGGCGGCGATTGGTTGTGGGGTGTTAGTGCAAGTCGTTGACAAGTGGGAATTGGGAGTCGATGACATGGACAATTGATAAGTTGCCTCTATGACAATTTTCACAAGCATTTTCAGAGCAGTAAACATTTTGTGAGGATTCATTCCTAAATCACAGGGGGGTAAGACAGATAGGTAGGTAAGCAGTTGAAAGGAACCTTGTTTGGTTCTTGACATGGGGGTCGAATAGAATCGGAGTAGAAGAGGCTGTCTTGTCTTGAATCATTCCCCTCTGCTCTGGGTTATCACATATAAAATGAAGAGACGTGATGAGAATTCTCTTAGAAAAGCAAACTTCAGTAGAACTTTCTTCTCTGTTCTTCTCTTACAAAAGTACTGTGCACAGCATTCCATGTTCACTTCCCCAAGTACATACCCCATCATTTACCACCATTAACCTCAATCAAGTTACTACACGTCACTCTATTCTTGATCCCGCCATGGAAGACCACGCCTGTACTTTGCCCACACCCCCCACGTATTTGGGAAGTTTTCGAAGTCGAACGCAAGGCTACTACAGTTGGGCGGCACAATGCAATTATCCCCAAGGTTGATGCTACACACCCACTAACCAAAACATTCCGGGTGGCTTGCAGCAACATCATAACGGTAACACACCCATCAAGCACCTGAATAAAGTGCAAAAGGAGCCCATCAGCAAACACGAACGGTTGGACCTTTTATTTCTAACTGAACTTACGTTTTGAGGCGCAAAGGAGATGCTTCCATGAGCACATCTGCCCACTGCTGAGAGATAGACTGAATGTTGGGAAAGAAAACAACATGGATCCAAATCACATGTTATAAACAGTTATAACAAAAAATCCTTTTAAAATAACCGTTATAACTATTATGATATATAAAATTAACACATTACTACCTTGGAAGGTTTTCTATATTATAAAGATATTTTATGACTAAAAGTTAGCCTAGGCTGCCCAGCCAAGCTAAGGCAATCTAAAACCTTGGAGCTCAGCCAGTCTTCGCCCACCACACACCCCCCAGTCTCATACAGTACCCATACCCAGTCAGGCGCCTGTCGGTCCTCGACAACCTGCAACTCGCAACCATCGCGTCGCATCCATCACAGTTGCAAATAAAACAGAGCATCTCTGGCCTTGTTTTTGCAAGGCCAACAGTCTTAACCATGTGGTCCTCTTCTGGGAGCAGCAAGAAGCCTGCTCAGTCGGTGAGTTTTGCCCGCCCTCTTTGTCCTGTCCTCGAGCTTGATGATGCTCACGAGACTCGACGTAATCGGTGCCCTCCTTGCTAACAGCCCCACCGCCGCAGGAGATGGTCCAACTCGGTATGTCGTTGCGATTCCCTCTCCCCACGGGGTCGAGGTGTTTTGAGGTGCAGGTTGTTCGTAACAAGGTTGAATGTGCTAACGATAGATCAATTGCTGCTTGACAGATCGCTCAGAGTATGTCTTGTCCCGTCCTGGCTGTTGTCTGTGCTCGCGCGCTGAAGCATCTCGACCAGGTCCGTATCGCCATTCTGGAGACCGCCTCCAAGAGACAGCCACAGCTCTACCCCTAAGAGGAGTATCACGTCGCCTGGAGGTCATGGCTCCGGCCTCGTGGTTGGCGCCGCCTATTCGCATGCCGATATTCTCAAGTTTGACTCCCTGTAAGTCGTCGACCTGGCCGTGAAACATGATGTACTCTCCCCGCTGATGCCAACCACCAAGAAACCCATCCAGCTCCTCCCGACCAAAGACCCCCCCTTCCTCCTCCGCAACCAAGATCCGAGTTCACGAAGCTTCTCCCCCGCCACGGACAACCCCGGGCAAGACATCGTCACCGCCCTACAAGAGTTACATCAACTTCCTCTCCAACACCAACGATGACTGGAAGGCGGACGAAGACGACATGCTGGGTTACGAGGACGACGACGGCGATGACTTTGGGCTACCCAGTCTTTCGAGCATGAAGAGGAGGTCGCGGCGCATCGCTACACAGAACAGGGCCGAGTCAAGTACATTATCGCCGACGACAGAGGAACCCCCCGATGCGCTTCACTCGAGACGGTACTCGAATAGCGCCGATATCGCTGTCGAGCGTCCTGCGCCCACATATCCCATGCCTAAGAAGAGCGAGGGCAAGATTCTACGACCGCAGTACAAGGAGATCCTCAGAGGTGTGTCATGAAGATAGATCAAGATGAACATGACTGATCATGAATAGACCCTGCCAACGCCCTGCACCTTATCAACTACCCAACAGTCCCCGCAAACGCTACGCAAAAGGAAGCCGATGCGATTAATTCTCGAATCACCCGTATCAACAAGTTCAAGAAGCTTCTCCAAGCCTCCACCATCTCGCTGCCCGACCTGAGGTCGCTAGCCTGGTCTGGCGTGCCTCAGGAGGTCCGCGCCATGACCTGGCAGCTCCTCCTCAGTTACCTACCTGCAAACAGCGAACGCCGGGTCGCCACATTGGAGAGGAAGCGCAAGGAATATCTCGATGGCGTACGTCAAGCCTTTGAAAGGGGCGGTGGAAATGCTGCGGCTGGTACGACTAGCACAGCCCCTACAGGCAGGACGCGGGGCTTGGATGAGGCAATCTGGCATCAGATCAGCATCGATATTCCCCGAACAAACCCCCACATCGAGCTCTACAGCTATGAGGCCACTCAGCGGTCGCTGGAGCGCATCCTCTACCTGTGGGCGGTGCGACACCCGGCCAGCGGCTATGTCCAGGGCATCAATGACCTGGTGACGCCATTCTGGCAGGTCTTCCTTGGTATCTACATCGGAGACCCTAATATTGAGTCTGGCATGGACCCTGGACAGCTCCCTAAGTCGGTTCTTGACGCGGTCGAGGCTGACTCGTTCTGGTGCTTGACCAAGCTGCTCGATGGCATCCAGGATCACTACATTGTAGCTCAGCCCGGCATTCAGCGCCAAGTTGCTGCCCTCCGTGATCTTACAGCCCGGATCGATGGCAACTTGTCCAAGCATCTGGAACAAGAGGGCGTCGAGTTTATTCAGTTCAGTTTCCGCTGGATGAACTGTCTCCTGATGAGAGAAATCAGTGTCAAAAACACCATCCGCATGTGGGACACTTATCTGGTTCGTACTTATCCTATCAACACTAGTTCAAAATTAACCATCTGTCTAGGCTGAGGAGCAAGGCTTCTCTGAGTTTCACCTCTATGTCTGCGCCGCTTTCCTCGTCAAGTGGTCCGACAAGCTCGTCCACATGGACTTTCAGGAGATCATGATGTTCCTTCAGTGCCTCCCCACAAAGGACTGGACCGAGAAGGATATTGAGCTGCTCCTCAGCGAGGCCTTTATCTGGCAGAGCCTCTTCAAGGGCTCGGCCGCTCATCTCAAGGGTCAGCCAGCCCGTGAGCCCGTTACGAACCTGCAACTCTAGGCTCTTGTAAAAAGACAAAATCACCGTCATCTTCCTAGTAATTCTGCAGCTGCTATGGCGTTGGTTTCTGATTAGTGATGATGGATTGGATGAGGGATACCGTCTCGTAGCGAAAGCGAGAGTTTGTGAGGTCAAAAGGCCTGTATATATCGGCACATTAATGAGGATGGCAATGAGGTTGAGCATGAGGATGATGATCAAAACAACAGCATGACGAAAACCAGGACGAGCAAGACCAAGACAAGTCAAATGCATACGTCGGCGTTGATTCTTACTTCAGAGAGGTTTTATTTTTCTCCTCTATCGGTGATGGGGATTTGGTATCATATTTACTATTTGGGTACAAGGGCTATACCAACCTTTTCTACAGTTAAGAGTATTAAGAGCGAGGGACTCCCTTCTCATCCCATCCATCTCTTTCTTTCCTACTCGCTCGCTTGCTTGATCCTATTCATCCAACGTCATTTGGTATTGTACAGGCGGTTTTGCTTCGGGTACATGGGGTATGCCTCCTTCATGTTATGTATATGGACGCACCCCGGATGATGATGATAAACGCTCACCCTTCGCGTATCGAATGCCATCCACATTATCCTCGAGATATCCCGCCTCTTGTGAGCGCATCATCCAACTCCGAACGCCAGGCCGTGATAATTAGTATATACGTGAGCAACCCTGCCAGCCAGAATCCTCAACCTGGGGTTAATCCTGCCCAGGGGAGTGCCGTATAGGTAGGTGCCAAAGAATCGATTCTGCTTTCAGCTCAATCGATGAGATTCCACCAGGTCCCTGATGAACCCTAATTTTTCGCGATCTTCGTCGCAGACTCGCGCCCACTCGAGCAGTAGACGCCAGGTGTAGAGTGCCATGTCTTCGCGCCTCAGAACCTGTCCAGCCCATTCTTTGCCCCTCTCAGCGATGTAACGGGCAGCCGTGTCGCCACCTGCCGCGTCATCGGTGAAGAACTCGAGAATGGCGTAAAGGTCCTGGAACGTGTTGTCGAATGGCACAAAGTGAACCCACGGGGTCAGACGGTCGTCGTGCCACTCAGCATAGACGGTGGCCTTGAGTGGCATACTCGAGGAGCGCAAGAAACCACGGAATCGAGCGCTGAACGAGTTGCCGTCGGTGTCGGGGAGGAACTTGTATTTATACTGCTCCTTCATGGGCATGTACTTGACTTCATGGAAGTAAGGGGTAAGATGGCCGCAACGATCATCGCAAAGCATGCGAGCGAAGCCGCAGTTAGCAAACTTCTCAAGCCACTTGCCAATCGATTTAGAAGAGCGATGGCTGCTGTTGTACTGATCGTGTGATGGCAACTGGAAAGTCTTTGGTTTCACACCACCATTCTCGACGCTATCGACATAGCTGCCGTTGAGCATTTGCATCAGCCGATGGCGGTGGAAGCGATGCCATTTATCGGCCGTAGCTCGACCGCCAGAAGCATCGCCTCGCCAGACAATGCCCGTCTTCTTGGCATGCCATGCAGGTCCCATCTTTTCACCTCCAGAGTAAAACTCATTGTCGGTAAGATACATGGCTCCGGGGATAAGCATCTCGTTGTTCATGGGGAGCTTTGATCCGCCAAACATGGGAATCAGCTCCTTGGAAGTGGACAGACTTAGAGGCTGGACGAAGCTACCGTGCATCTGGCGAAGATGCGGTTGCAGGCAAGGGTCCTGAGCGGCAGTCCAGTTCTTGACATAGCCCTTGTAGGCGTAAGGGGCGTTCCAGTCTGTGGGGTAGTCGACGGGACCTTTGAGATCGGAGACTTGCTGAGCATTGCGCGACGGAGTGTTGGGGTCACACGTCACACGGGCAAGCTCCCAGTAGTTGGTTGAGCTATTGTACCACGTTGGGTCGTACGGCTGAGGCTTCTCGGCGTCTAGTTTGGCAAGGCTCTTGAACTCGGTCATGACCTCCTTTACCGGAGGCATGCGCCGGTTGCTACCCTCCTGATCCACAAGCTTGGAGAGCTCTTCAAACGGGACGAGAAGGCGAGGTTCGTCCATGTAATTAATTGGCATGTCAACGTCGGGCAATTCCTTGGCAAAGTCCTTGACAAGGTCGGTCCATAGCTGGAGCCATGGGACACGGTCTTTAGTATCGCCTACGCCGGTGGCCTCGCCGTTTCGAACCTTGACGACCCAGTGCCAGGCAGATGCGCGGCGAGCGAGGGTTTGAGGGTCGAGCGCCCAGTATGGAGTCAAGTCTTTGTATATGCGATCAAAGTAGTCCTCGACGATAACGGCATCCGAGGCTATGGCGGCCTCAATCCACTTGTCGAAGCCTGGAGGTGGGTGACGGCCGCGACGGATGCGATACCGTTCAGCGGCGTCATGGAGGTTGTAACTGCGTTTTGTAAGAAGGGTCTCATGGCGTGCGCGAGCGTCTGCCATGAGCTTCTTGATCGGGTGCTTGGGACCTATGGTGACAGGCCCCTTTGGTTCGGTAACGTCCCAGCCCTGGCTGCTGGTCCATAGTAGGTAGTTTGTGATCGCGAAGCATACGATGAATGCTGTGCTGAGGTAACGGAAGACTAGGCGAGAAGGCCAGGCCGATAGCCATTGTTTGAGTCGCGGCCACATGACGAGCATGGGGGAGGAATTAGGAGGCGAGGCGGGGAAGTCGGAGGGTCTATGCGCGCCACGGAGGAGCAAGATATCGAAGCATCGATGGACGGGAGCTCAGCGAGCGCAGCAAGAGGGCATTGTCGGAGGAGTGGGTGGAAGGAAGGATTCGGTTCGCTTAGACTTTTGCGCCGGCCGGAGATGTACGTGTGATGGAAGTCTCGGGAGTATCGTAGATGGCGCCGGATGGGTGTTCAGAGGAGTACAAGAAGCCGAGGAATCGAAGAAAAGGGGAGGAAAACAAGAAAGAAGGAGAAACGATCTGATTACGTTGGTTGACAGAACCAGGAAGAGTGAGGTGAGGTGAGGTGAGTTGAGATTGTGGTGTTGAGTGGTCAGGTGGAACGGGAAGGAGTCCCGGACAAGTCAAGCCAAGTCAAGCCAAGTCCCTGGCCCTGTTCGAGTCGAGGTCCTGGTGGAAACTTGGACTGCCCAGGAAATCGCCGCGAGGTTGCAAGTCGAAGCTTAGTGGATGGGAGGCGCTGGGAGGCTTTGATAGTTGGAAGGATGGTGCGCTAGAGCGTGGAGAAGGTCAGAAGGCCCGCTGCAGTTTTTGCGGAGCCACATGAAGCTTGACCTTGACAATCAAGGGGAGCAGGGGGAGCATCCAGGTTCATGAGCACCTGGAGCAGGGAACGCTGCACTGCGGGCAGGCTTCCAGGGTTCATTCATTGCGGTAGAGACCGCTAACTGGCCCAGGTAGCTCGGCACAATAGGCGCTGCGTGCCCCGGGGAATGGATCTAATAAGAGGAACACGCTCTCAGTAGCATCCACCACGAGCAGGATCCCAGTCTGGTGCATGTGCTGATGGGGTGAATCCTACCAGGCATTCTGCAGTGGCTGAGGGGGGATCCAGGGTGTCGAGAGAGCCGAGGACCTCCAATTGCGAGCATGCGCCGAACAGTTGCCAACCTGGGTAGGTAGATATTTAATTGAGCAAAAGGAAACGAACGCTGCGCTTTGTGTTTCATCAAATCCAACGCCAAAGCTTCCTCTCTTTTTTCTCTCTGGTCCGCAGTGGCTTGCCGCAAAGTGCAACAAGACCACCAACAAGGCCCCCCCCCCCTTTCGCCGCATACTACTCTGCGCCGTACCCATCACCTGCATAAAGAAATTGAAGCCCTCAGGAGGAGACTTGGAATAGGGGAACCCCAAGTCTCAGAACGGCAAGAAATATGGCGGTGGCCAGCGTGCGTGCCCTGAGAAGTGATTGGCTTGGCGGCGTCAGTCTCGGGCCAACAGAATGCCATGTGTCTGAGATGGAAGCCGCTTTTTTCTTGTCTCTCGGGATGTCGGGCGTAAGTTAGTGCTCCAAGTGGCCATTGGAGAACAGGGAAAACCCCCCACAAATGCCGTCTTCGAATCCGGCTTGGTTGGTGTTGCAGATTGGGTTTGGAGGCTTCGTACCTGCGTATTAAGGTGCCGCGTTTGCCAGCTCTACCATGCGTGCCATGTAATTAGTGCTCAGAGTGGCTGCGCTTGCAAGGCCTCACATGATATTGCTTCGGACTGCAAATATGCTTGCTTTATGATTTTTAGCCTTAATAACCTAAAATATTATGTTAAAAATATGATCAGATGGGGGATTTAATAACAAACAGTTGCAAGCCTATTTCTTATAGATGCTCAAAGACATATATTCACGGCCAAACCTTACATATCCACCCCTGTTTACGGCTGGTCATCTCAAGTCAAAAGAAATCAAGATTGAAAACTCCTATCCGTCCTCTGGCGTGTTGGCTATTTTATCCCCTCCCTTCCAATATATTATTATACATCGTTCTGCCTTGGCAAGAAACGCGCGCCCTTCTCCTTATCACAGCCGGGGCCCTGAACATGGAAAGAAGAAAAAAAACAAGAGAAAGCAGAGCATCAGTATCAGAACCCAACGTAGCCACGAGAATTGCCATCGACCCCATGAGTCTCCTCGACCTCAATCTCGAAATGCTTGGGCTGCTCAGATCGCCGAGACGGTCCCATGGTGGATGCACTTCCCTGCTCCTAATAGGGAGCAAAGCCTCGACCACGGCCCCGGTAACCACCGCGGTAGCCTCCTCGAGGGAAGCTGCCTCTACCGTGGAATCCTCGACCTCCACGGAAGCCTCCACGACCACCGCGGCCGCCCCGGCTCATGCCTGGGATGTTGGTGCGCTTGGGTGTCACCTTGATGTTGCGCCCTTTGAACACGCTCTCGTTAAGGACGAGGGCCTGGGCGACCAGGCTGGGCTCGGTGAACTCGACATAGGCGTACCTAAAATCTCATGTGTCAGCAGTCGATAGACCGTCTGAGGGCAACCTGCCAACGTACCCCTTCGGTTGTCCAGTAAACTTGTCAAGCAAGATGGTGACTCGGTTGATAGAGCCACAGCTCTGGAAGTGAGCCTGGATCTCCTCGGGCGAGGCAGAGTAGTCGACGTTGCCCACAAAGATGCTGCGCGCATCGATCGACTCTTTGTCATCTGCCAGATCGGCGGACTGCTGTTCTAGAGTAGCCTGCATCTCTCGAAGCTTCTTGGCCTCCTCCTCCATTTCCGCTACCCGGCGCTTCATGGCAGTGATCTCTTCCTAGGGCGCCTCGTCAGTTCCTTCTTCAATCCACCTCTTTGCGCGCCTCACGCACCTCCTCGTTCGCATTCATCTCGGTTTCCGGCTCGTGCTCATGCTCATGCTCATGCTCTTGCTCATGATCGAGCTCGGCCATGGGCTTCTCCTCCGGTTTGCCCGAGTCCGACATGTTTGCAGCAACGAGATTCGGTCTAACAATATGTCTCGAGTCGAGGAGGGATTCTGCGTGGGTAGGCGTTAGCGGATGTTGACTCGTCGCAAAGGAGCAAAAGGCGTCGATCCGAGACGCAGACGCGCCCTTGTCGTCATGGACGTCGCAAGCTGCAGAAATGATCAGAAGACACAAGACCAGAAGAATACGTACAACTCCAAAAAGCACCTTGCGCAAAGCTGTAGAATGCAAGGCGACGAACGTCCGAGCAATAAATCGGACAGAAAAGGCTGGTGCTGAAAGAAAGGATTGAAGATGATCAGGGCAAAGCAAGAAGAATGGTGTCCCCTGCAGCCTTTGCTTGTAGGTACTCCGTAGGCAGGTAGGTACCTATGCCTTCACTGTGGCTTGCATTCATCAGGCTGAGAAGCCCCGCCTGTTTTTGACTCGCGCCGCTGCTCTATTGGGCAGTCCTGAGCTTAGTCATCATAACAACTTAGCCTTTGAGCTCCGCATCAGAACGACCACGACAGATCCAACACCTTCTCAACATACTCTTTGTACTCCAATTCTATCCCCTCGACTCTTTCAATCCTGCACCTTGGTCTTCACACACCCTTCTTTGATTCCACGCGTGGGCTTTGAGCCCTCGGCAAAGTTGCGCGTGACTTCTACCCGTCCGGACTCTCTTATCACGACTTGGGCCTTTGCGCCAGACCCCAGCCGTCACGATGACCGAGCCCGAGAACTTCGAGGATGATCTCTTCGCCGACCTGTAAGCCACTATCAACTCGCACATGAGCCGTCGCTTTTGTATCCCAAAGCAACATTCAAGCTGATACTCTTCAAGTTACGACGATAACGACGCTTCCAAGGCGGCACCTCCCCCCGTAGCCGCAGCTCCGCCAGCCCCGGAAGTCCAACCAACCCATACCAATAACAATGACCAAGATGGGCCGTATCAGCATCAAGACGCGGGAGGTGATGAACACATGATGCAGGATCAAGATGATGATGACGATGATGTCGATTTCAACCTTGGCGGAGGAGGCTCTACAGCTGGTCACACAAGCCAAGTTGCTACTCATGACGATGTCCCAACACCTCCGCCGTACGGAACCGTACACAAGGCAAGTGCCAAGGAAGACGGGTGAGTTTCTTCTGTCCCATTCCCTGTGATTTGTATCCCCCATCTGCCCTAGGGCGAGTATTGTGGTTTGCCTTTGGTCGCGTGCTTGCAGCTTGGATCGTAATGGCAGCTGCCATTTGGCCACGTAGCAGTGGCTGTTCTGTTGGGTGCTACTCAGACATCTCGGAAGTTGGCTTGGCTGGAAAGGTTCGCGGTCAAATGAAGAGAAGAGGCGTGGCATTCAGAGACATCAACCCGGCAAGACTCAAAACGGAGGAACTATCGTCAGCCGAGTCGAGAGGACTTGGGATCAAGACTATGATCAAGTGAGACGAGGCATCCAGCAATTCCAAGAGGTCTAATCAGGACCAAGATACTTGAGACCAAGAGGAGGATTTCAGTGTCAGACTTGGGAACTCGCCCTGTGGATACTCCCGAGAAAGAATCAGCCGGCCCTAGTCAAGACGAAAGACCCTGCTTCCGTCTTTCATAGCCATCAGTCGCAGAGATCTTATGAGCCAGTCAGAACGGTCAGACGTTCTCCTTGCTATAGCGAGATTTTGCAGCGAATAGCGCTCGAGGCCAGTACCTAGCAAGACAGAGAGAAGAGTCAAGACGATAGCACAAGACGAACAAATATTCGACCAAGCTGATCTGGCATCTCTCGCTGCATTGTCTGCGACATCTTGCGACTACCATGGCGATTCATGAACACCATTCGCCAACCATCAATCAACTGGACCCCTGATCACGGGTCTCGGGAGTTTCACATCGCCAAATTTCAACACAAAACGCCAAGAGCCGAGGGGTACTCCATGAGGAATAGACCTTTCCTGGTCCTGAACTGCCTGTCTACGCCATTATTGTCAAGCAAGCTCTCATAGCCTGCCTCGCGGATGTGGAGCCTCCTGGAGAGCAGCAGACTTGACACTATTCATGTTGACCGCCCTGCCAAATCGCGGCCTAAGGCACCTGTTGTCGCGATATCAGATGCCAAAATCAAGCTGTTCGTGCTCAGCCCACGTGGAAGGAGAAGACCCAAGAAAGAACTCTACAACATGACCCTGTCTGATGCAAGCCACCATGCCACAGTCAGGGAACCAACAAGCTTGCTGCAGCCAATACGACCCATGCCTTGCAACCGCCATCACTTACCATATCACCAAATTCGGGTACAAGACTTAGTCATTCGCGTACTGACATGTTGAAATAGTAAAATGTTCATTGGCGGTCTCAACTGGGAGACAACGGATCGTAAGTGGCCTAGAATCACGTCAGAGTGCGGTGTATCCTGACCCTTGATAGAATCCCTACGAGATTACTTTTCGCAGTTTGGCGAGGTTGTGGAGTGCACCGTCATGAGAGATAGCAGCACAGGACGGTCACGAGGTTTTGGTTTCCTCACCTTTAAGGACGCCAAGACGGTCAACATTGTCATGGTCAAGGAGCATTTCCTGGATGGGAAGATTGTCAGTTATCGGTGTCCCTTGAAGAAGCTACAACAGGCTAATACCGCAGCAGATCGACCCCAAGCGTGCTATTCCCCGTGATGAACAGGAAAAGACAAGCAAGATCTTTGTCGGAGGTGTCAGTCAGGAGACGACCGACCAGGAGTTTAAGGAGTACTTTGCCCAATTCGGTCGCGTTGTGGATGCGACTCTTATGATGGATAAGGACACAGGCCGACCACGAGGATTCGGTTTTGTCACGTTTGAAAGTGAAGCCGGTGTCGACGCCTGCATCAATGTGCCCCTGGAGATCCATGGAAAGCCCATCGAGGTCAAGAAGGCCCAACCCCGAGGCAACCTTCGAGAGGAAGAGGAGGCTTCTCGACGCAACAAGTTCAGAAAGGATGGCGATCAATCCAGCCAGGGATCCATGGGCCAGCAGATGAGTAACAACGGCATGACGCCCCAGGCCATGGCCCAGTACTTCCAGCGCATGCAGCAGTACTTTGCCATGATGCAGTCGCAGATGGCCATGAGCCGAGGAATGCCCATGAACCCAGGCATGTGGCAGAACATGATGCAGATGCAGCAAATGCAGCAGCAGATGATGGGCCGTGGCGGCGGCGGAGCCAATGGGCAGAACATGATGAACAACATGACGCCTCAGATGATGCAGCAGATGCAACAGATGCAACAGCAGATGATGCAACAGCAGGGCCAACAGGGAGGCCAAGATAACTCGGCTGCCGCAGGAGGCGCCAGCGGAGGAGGCGGTGGTTTTAATCAATACCAGCAACAGCCTCAGGGAGGTCGTCGCGGCGGCCGTGGCGGTGGTTACGGCGGCGGCGGCGGCGGCGGCGGCGGCGGCGGACACGGAGGCTACAACATGGGAGGAGGAGGAGGCGGCGGCGGAGCTCCGACTTCATGGGAGGGCATGTATGACGATGTCCCTCAGCCGAACCCCAACCAAGGCGGCGGTGGCTTCCATCGCAGTGGAAGTGCCGGCGGGAACGCTGATCCCCAACACGCACCCCCAGCCAACGCTCCCACGGGACCCAAGAATGCCGGCAAGCCAGGTGCCAACTACCGCGGAGGCGGACGAGGAGGCAACCGTGGATTCCACCCATACTCGCGATAAAGACAGACGGTACATCAGAGTTGGCGTTTGTCACGCAGGAGTCGGTTGGTTACCGAGCCTGTGGAGAAGTCGATCGGGACGGACAGGGCTACAGGTGTACAATACCACGGAACCCCTTTGTTGTTTCTTGATGTTTTTTTCAGGGACTCTGCATCTTATCTTTTTTTCTTCCCTTTTGTTTTTTGACTTTCAACAATGGGTGGTTTTTCTTTCAGTAAAGCCAGGTTAGGCTAAATCACAGGGGGTAACCAGGGAGGTGAATGAATTTGCGCGGGATAAGTCTGCAGTAATAACATCTAACAGCATATCATTCACTATGAAACATGTGATCAGGTTTTCTAAACGTAACGGCACTAAATTCGATGGGGTCTACTGGCACTACGAGATAATGGTGAAGTTGGCACATAAGAATAGTAGAGGCATCAAGGCACATGTAGAGTCACCATTAGCAATGCTATTGATGTAAATGGTACCACACTATTCACACGAAGAAGGCTTCAAGAAGACCAGGTTAGTAAAGCACTAATGCTTGTACTTGGTTGCTTATTATTGTTTTACACTGCTCAATGCTTGGATATTATATACACTCGGAATCAAAACGCTCTCAAACCCCATCATCTCACTACTCTCGAGAAGCCATCTAGCAGGTCTCGGAGAAGGAATCGGCCTTGCAAGAGGTGCCGTCGGGGCCGCTGCTGAGCTTGGTAGGCTCAGAGCCATCAGAGTTACCCTCGAAGAGGTCGCAGGTCTTGCCAGAGTCCTGGCAAGAGTTGCTGATGGTGCAAGTGTCGCCGTAGTTGGTGTTGACTTGAGACATGTCAGCTGTGAAGCCTTTACACAAAAAGAAAGGGTTAACTTACTGCCGCAGAGAACACCACCGTCAACAGCGGCAATGTTTTCAATAACAACGTTACGAGGGCCACCGTTGTCCTTGCAGTTACCGCAAGCTCGGACAAGCTTGCCGTAGTCCTCGACGTAAAAGTCAGAGATCTCGACAGTGCCGCGGCCGTTGAACTGGACGACCTTGTCGGAGGCGTGGAAGGCACCGCCGCCGCGGATGATGGAGGTGCCCGACTTTTGCTTGAGGGTGATGGCGTCCTCGCAGACGTCCTCGAACCAGACGTTCTCGAGGGTGCAGGTGCCCTTGCAGTGGACGCCCTCAGCCTGGCCGGGGCCGATGATGACGTTGCGGAGGGTGGCGCCGTCCTCGAGGATGAACATGGCGTCGTCCTCACCGGTCTCGGACTGGTCCTTGCAGACAGCGGCTGGAGATGCGTTAGCTAGGTATGTATGGATGGTAGGTGAGGAGTCTTACGGGATCGGTCGTAGTACATCATGCCACCGTCGAGCTCGCCGGAGACGGGGATGGCAGTAGCGGCGGCAGTAGAGCCGCTGGAGGCGGGAATGGTTCGGGTGATGCCACCAGAGCCGGAGCCGGAGCCGGAGCCAGATCCGCTACCGGATCCAGAGGTGGGAGCAGCAGCGGCGCTGGTAGGCTCGACAACGGGGGTGGACTCCTCATTGTCACCCTCCTCAGCGGGCTGAGAGGGGACAGCAGCAATAGAGGTCTCGACAGGAGCGGACTCCTCGTCATCACCCTCCTCCTCAGCAGGCTGCGAGGGAACAACGGGAGCGGAAGTCTCCACGGGAGCGGTCTCAGCGTCGTTGTTCTCCTCCTCCTCCTCAACAGAGGAAACCTCAGTGGCAGGGGCCTCAGTGGACTCGGGAACCTCAACCTCCTCAGCGGGAGGGTTGGAGCCAGAGTTTCCACCCTGAGCACCAGGGACACACTGGCTGTACCACTCGTTCATCTCGACACAGGTAGAGCCATCAGCACAGTCGGTCTCTCCGGTGAAAGCACCTCCACCGCACTGGCCGTAAATCTGAACGGCAGCAAAGGCCGTGCCAAGGTTGGCAACTGCTAGAAGGGTAGAAGTTCGCATCTTGAAATAGGTAGGTAGTGAATGGATAGGTATTATCGGGCGTAAGGCTGAAACAAGGTTACAGATAAAGTTGTTGTAAAAGAATGTGGTCAGCGGGCCTGCCCGAAGCTACCAAACAAAGTAATGAAAGAAAGCTGCAAAGAAAGTCCTGGTTTGTCAGATCTCCTCTCACCCTGGGACAAGGCCTGCCTTATATATAACAATAACCATCACCACATATACCCCAGGCAGGTCCCTGAGTGAATTTGAGCATAAACACCAACCGAAGATCCCGAGACGTTAGGCGACGATACCACCGCTGGGGTAACTGTGATGGCCAGGTGGACGTGAGCAAAAGCCTCCAATGAGACTGTGCAGAGATGTCTCCCTAGCCTTGGCTGTCAGTCGAGGCCAAGCTTAAAACAGCCCTTCTCCAGACATGATTTAAGCTTGGCTCTCAGCTTGTTTGAAGTCGGGCAGTTGGGATTGGCGGACTTTCTAGAAACCCGTCATGCTTGTTGTCGAGGGGTGGGTAAGGGGCAACTATGCATCCTGGTTAAGCATGAAACTGGTGGATGCAAAAAGAACCAACAGCTCGGCTAGCGATGTGATAAGATGTCCGAGTGTTTGCTTGGTTTCACTTGAAACGAGCTGAAGAGAAGGCATGAAGTGTACCCTCGAGTTTTGAATATGTGAGCATGAAGCCGAAATAGCAGTGTCTTGGCGGGCAAATGAGACTTACCAGCGGAGAATAACAACACCAGCAACACACATCAAGACCCGCTGTTGGTTCCTGTTGTTGGTTCGCTCAGAGAAACCCTGGAGATAATCAGCCAGGATGTTTCCAGACCCGCCAGTCAGCCCCGTGGCGCCGGTAAGCATCGTTTCCAAGAGGGTCCCCCCATGTGGGAATAAGATGGGCAGGGACCAAGACCTGAGACGCACAGCGTTTGGTGTGCACCTGGGGAGGCAACGGAGATGCAGGCCCAAGACTGCAGGTAGCTCCGAGGCGAGAGCGACGGTCCGGAGAAAGCTATCTCGCCAAGCTGGGCGACAATGCGAAAAGGAATGCTTAGCATCGCTAGGGTGCTTATTCAGGGGTGAGGTTTGATTAAAGGAGAGTGAGAGCGTTGGAGATTCCACGTGCTCGGTCATGTGATGCTCCAAGGAGTGGTTCAGTGACTGCCACAGAGACGAGGAAGCAAATGATAAAGTATCCGTGTTCGTTCCCGCTCCTCCAGTCTTGTTCCTCAAGTTGTTTCTGCCTTGTTCCTGCAACATGCTACCGAATAAGGGTAAGAAGTCAACAGAGTGCGACAGGCTTGAGCCGCCTTACGCGCCCCTTGAAACAGCACAGTTTGTGATTCTAGAAGACTACCTAAGGCTGAAGATGATCATCGGCAGTGCACTATCTGCATAGTTCCCGAAAATCTCATCGCCCTAATGTTTGAAACAAAAAGTTTATCTCCAGATAGACTGTTGATACGAATTCGAGTGGTGGACTGATAGAACTACCAAGCAGATCCAAGGTATCCCCAGCTTATCCCCCTAAAGTCAATTGACTACACGTGAAAGTCACGTGAGTATTTCTCCAACAAAGCTTCGCCCACCCTTTTACCCCTTTTACAGGATTTGGTTGGGGAAGAGGTTGCAATGGTGACGCCACTGGCCCAGACCGACGGGATACCGATATTGATAAGCTTCACAGTGGGAGAGGATAAATAACGACTTGGGCTTGGCCTTTCTATGTAGAATACGACACGGCCAAAGAATTGAAGCTAGCAGGCCTTGTCACGAGAGCAATTGCCCATCTCATCGATGGATCGATGTTACAAGCGGTGACCATCACTGACACTACCGGGACTTGGAGATTGCTCTCCTTTCTCACACGAGAAAACCTGGGCCACTTTTTTAAATTGATCTGTCATTACGACGTAGCCAACGGGTAAAGAGGGCGAAAATCAAGCTGGGCTGCCTCCTTACGCCATAGTTCATCCCCTTGAAGCGAAGAGTTCGTGATAGATTCTCTTTCTTATTTTCTTCTTCCATCCTTCCCCCAACTCTTTGCTCTCGTTATCTCGCCTCCTTATCATCACGTCACGTCAGACCTTCCAAGTCTCGTCTTGTCCAGGCCAACTTTTTGACCCCAGATTTTTTGCAAGGATCCTGGCTCCTTTGGCCCCAATCAGGCCAAGCCAAGCCCCCGTCGAGACCCGGTTTTTTTCGCGTCAACGTGGAACTGAACTGCTTCGGGAGCCATAACCGTTCCATCGTCCAGGTGCCGTCGCCCGCCTCTACACACGAAAGTCGCAGCACACGCAATCCAACGCCGCACGTACAGAGACACGTACGTACGCCTGTTATCGAGACGAGACCAGCAGCCCAGTCGAAGCCGCGTCATCACTTCCGTGCCCTCATCTCTCAGTCCCTTAGCCAGCCATGTCTTCGCCGTCTGGTTCCTCCCAAGGAGGCAAGCGCAAGAGGGTCTCCCTTAGCCGTCCCGACTCATCTGTCGACCTCCTTGACAACGGTATTCAGACATCCTCCCGTGATGCCTCTGGCGAGGAGGGAGACACCACAGCCGCTGAAGATGGTCGACCTCACCACCGTGCCGCCGCCGTTAGCGGGCCCATTCCTAAGAGGCAGCGCTCCAACTCGGACCGCATCATCGAAAACACCGATCATGCCCTCGACCCCGGCGAGCCCAGCGACACCACCGAGGCCAGCATCGACATCGCCGAGCGTGTTGGTCGAAAGGCCCGCAAGCCCTCCCTGAGGGATCTCGACGATGATGATGACGAGGGCGAGATTCACGCCACAGAGGCCATGCCCCCTCCTCCCATTGGCAAGTTGACCGATCCTGCCGGTGGTTACAAGACCAACCCTCCTCCCGTCGGTCGAGCTGTCCGTGTCTACGCCGATGGAGTCTTTGATCTCCTCCATCTTGGGTGAGCCAGCACATTCTCCTCTCGCCCATGCAATCGCTAACAGCTTGCAGCCACATGCGCCAGCTCGAGCAGGCCAAGAAGGCCTTCCCCAACACTACTCTGGTTGTCGGCGTCACTGGCGACCACGAGACGCACAAGCGCAAGGGTTTGACCGTCATGTCCGCCGCTGAGCGATCCGAGACCCTCCGTCACTGCAAATGGGTCGATGAGGTCATTGAGGACTGCCCTTGGATCGTCACCCCCGAGTTCCTCGAGGAGCACAAGCTCGACTACGTTGCCCACGACGATCTCCCATACGGCGCCGACGAGGGCGACGACATTTACCAGCCCATCAAGGCCGCTGGCAAGTTCCTCGTCACCCAGCGAACAGAGGGTGTGAGCACCACTGGTCTCATTACAAGGTGGGCACAGCCTGTTCCTCGCGAACTTCTACCCCTCTAACCCAGGATACAGAATCGTCCGCGATTACGAAAAGTACATTGCCCGACAGTTCAAGCGCGGCACCTCTCGCCAGGAGCTCAACGTGAGCTGGCTGAAGAAGAACGAGATGGACCTCAAGCGCCACGTCCAGGATCTGCGCGAGAACATCACCAACAACTGGACCACCACCGGCCAGGAGCTCGGCCGCGAGCTCAAGCAGTTCTGGCCAACCAGCCGACCTCAGAGCCCTGCCCGGTTTAACAGTGCCGGTAGCGCCGAGCAGCTGCGATCGCCTACCACCCCAGGTGGCGGCTCTGGTACTCCCAAGGAGTTCATCACCGGTTACGCCTTGGGTCTTGTCGGTGGTGTGCGATCATGGGTAAGCTACGAACAGATCCTCTATGAGCCAACTCAACTAACAGCCATATAGATGACCAAGAGCCGAAGAGACGCGGCAGACGGCAGCCGACCCGTCAGCGACGACGAGTCGGAAGAGAGCGATAACATCGCCAATGCCAATGCCAATGCCAACGCCAACGCCAAGACGTCAACAGACCCCGCGATCAATACCCCGACTACTACCTCCAAGCTATAGCTGGAATATGAGATAGCTCAAGAGTGGGAAAATGGGGAAGAAGAAAAAAACGATGCCTAGTAGAGAGCAAAAAAGGACCGGGGTCGGGGCCACTACAAAAATGGGCAAAGAATTGTTTCGAACCTCGCAATGGGTCTTGGATTACTATTTTAATCAGTCTTTCAGTCGTGCACGTTTAATACAAGGCCGGCATACAAGGCGTTCCGGCTTGTCTATGTATGATTTTTGCTTGCATTGCATTGTTCATTGGTGGTGGGTTGGTTTGGTTGGTGGAGCGAGGTCTGGGTGCTCAGCCTGGATGGCGAGAGTATTCTTTGACCACGTGTGAGGATTACGAATAGGCTCGATGAATTTTCATATTTCGTGTTTGAGTAATGTATGAGTTGGCATGTGTTGCATTGTTGTGTACTTGATGTTTTGTCATGCATTTTCGTGTACTCCTACTCCGTCGGTGTTGATAGGAACTTTGGTCAATGATTACTGAGCATGCCCTTTCTTCAGCTGGTCAAGGAGCTGAAAACTCGCACTGCATTCCCCAATCTCGGTCATATTTACAGCGACACCCAAGGCACAGCTGAAGTACCTGAGAGATCCTCCCGCGAGGCTGAGTTGTCGGATATCTTCAGTTCCGATCTCTGCGCAGCTCCAGGGTAATCCATTTCCAAAGTGCATGGGGAGGGGATGGCGCAGCAGGGCTGGCGCGTCTAGGCGGCTACGCGGCTAGACAACATCGCCAGAATGTCGTGCTACGAGAATGTAATGTTGCATGAAGCTGAAGACAAGTTGCAGAGTCTGAACTTGGAGGTTGTGGTGGTAGATGTCAGCTGTATGTCGATCAGGGAAACCATGTAAGCGACCGCAGCAAAGTTGATCGGCATTTTTTGATTCTCACAGCCGACACAGATCGTTGGTGGCTATAAAAAGCTTGTTAGGTAAACTCTGATCAAACCAACGCCTTGCGGGAAACCGCTTTGGATCTGCAGGTAGCCGTCTCTGCCGCCGACGCCCCGGTTGGGAGGGACCAGACTGTCGGGGCCATTGGAGCAGGGATACGAGAGGTGGTTGTGGTGGCACAACAGACTACCGAAGGGGGGACTCGGTCTCACGCAGATGCCGTGTGAGAGAAAGACGGTGAGTTTCTCTATTCAGAGAAAAGTCTCTGGGCAAGTGTGTGGGGGTTTATCGGTTGACGCTCAGTTTGTGAGTGATGGAATCATGCCTCACAACTTCTTGATTGGGTTCCTGCGTTGCCTCGGCGAAGATCTCTGCCTTTCCCATCCACTCACGCGAGGTGGTATCAGGCCAGGAGTGCATCAAGACTGAAGTTGGGATGACACATTGCCCACGTCTAGCAACGAAATCAATGGCACGGGAAGCATGCAGCGAACGAGTTCACGGGATGTGACTGGGTAGATGAGCGTCAAGGGGTCAGAGCGTGTTAGCGAGAGCTTGGCTAAGAGATAACAGAACTAATAATTGTTTCCTCGAAGAGTCATTGGCAAGTCAAGACAGAAAAGGACGCATCTGGTTGTCGGAAGACAGAATGGGATACCGGAACCAAAAATAGGTTGGCTGTTAAGCGCCGGAGGCTTGCCATGGGTTGCAGTTCCCGACAGGCAGTGGACGTTGACAGTGTGCGCCGCATGACGGGCCGAATGCTACGGAAATTTGTGCAGCCTTGTCTTTCAGGTTGTGCATCGCCGTGAGGCCAGCTCAATCAAATAGAAGATGCCTCTTGGCTTTTTCTCTTGTACATCACATCACAGGCCGGTGAACGAGCTGAGAGCTGGGAGGTGAGTGAGTGGGTGGGCATCCAATCTCACAACGGGCGGATTTCCATTTCTGGCCAAGAGGCGGGGACAGGCTCTGCAGAGCGTGGAACATGGAACGGTCCGGAGCGCCCCGCATCCTTTTTGTCGGGACGGGGGCCAACAAGAGTTTTTGACGCTGTAGATATCCAAGCTCCGAACTGGCAAGGCATAATCGTGGAGAATTTAAGCTCCTAAATCCGGTGTCACGCTGAATGCCTTGTCATGGATAAGCTTCTCGTCACATTGCAGCACAGGCATGGATCGGGCCTGTGTTTATGCTGGGCCGTTCTCCCGTCGAGTCGACCAAGTTGGCCGGCGCTTGGCCGACAAAGCAGGCAAGCGAAGAGCAACAGTGAGAGGACCCAACACGCGCAGGGTGTAAAAATAGCACACCAAGAGGTGAGACACAGCCAATGGGCCCGTCAGTGGCTGAGCTCGAATCCTCCACCATCAACTTTGGGCCGGGTGCCCGGCCGCCCTAGCGTCTAGCAGGGGGAGGGGGCATCCAATGCCACCCTCACAACGTGTACAGGGGGGGCGAGAATTGACGCTGCCGAGCGGCTGTTGCGCGCGCGCTGAGGGAGGGATACAGGGTTCAGCATCCAACGTCTGGTGATTTGATCATGAGGAGGCGTTTTTTGAGGAGGCTTCTCTTGTTTTTGTCATTGTCGGTGAAAGAGGTTGGACTCATTGGGAGATTGATCGACTCAGTTTCATTGTTCAGAGACAGAGAGACACGGACACGGACACGGACCATGCCTGCAGCACGGTGCAACGGCGCGCTCGCCCTATGAGGCTGCATTTGCGGGGGTTCTTGATATTAACAAACCAAGTCAATCAATGTTAGAATGCAAGTGAAATGAATGAATCTTTGTTGGATTATCTCAGCAATGTAGATCCCTTCGGCAGTGTCGGGGTTCCTTCCCAGTTATTCATCAGCAAAGACATTGCTTGTAGAAGGAAGGTGCTGATGACCGCCTCCGTAAGCCAACTTGCCTCCTGTTGCAGTTGTTCGAGGTAAGGCCAGGTGCTTACCAATATCTCCAGCGCTCCGTTTCTTCCATTCAATGCTGCCTTCTAATCCTTAACACTGCAAATATTGAACTCTCACCACAACACCAGAAAACCCATGCTCGCACAGCCACTTTGCATATTTGACTCTTTCCACTGCTGCCGATCCTGTCAGCCATTCGCCCCATGATGCTCCTTTGTCACGTTGGCGACATCGATCCTAGATCGACTCTAGAGCAGTCACCAACAGACGCCTTGACGCCATACCCGCTGACGCCCTCCTGGTGCTGGCCCTAGCTCCCAGTTCCTCCGTCCCATCCTGTCCGCTCTGCTGGAGCTGCTCCCTCACTGGGCTGGTCTGGTCTGGACTGCTCCTCTCACAGCGGCCGCCGCCCTGGTTGCTTAGCTTCCCCCGCCTGCTGGAGCTCCATCCATCTCCTGCGTCTGTGGCAGCCGAGTTTTTCTGCATCACCAACGGTCCTGCTAATTATGGGTTCGCGTGCTGAGCCGTCGTCGTTCTTTGCCCGCTGGCCTGTCTCTCGCCTCGCCGCATTGGATGATCGACGACGCCATCTAAGCGCGGCTTTCTACTGTATCATCCGCAGGAGTTCGGATCTTTCGGGGCAGAGTTGAACCGTCGTTGCTGGTACAGTAGCCTTTCATGAATCTTGCGTGCGCGCGCAGACGCTAGCCGCTTGATCAGGTACCGTTCTTCCAAGGCTTAGATGGCGCTTGCGGCCCCGTCCCGCCACTCCTCCTGGCTGGTCATGGATGGGGATGGACGAACAGGGGATGGGCGGAAGCTTGAGCAACCGGCAGGGGGTGATGTGAGAAAAGAGGCACTTTTTCAGCACATTGGGCGTCCTCACCACTCACTGTTGGCATGATGGAGTCGATCACGGAACGGGCAACCAACAGGCGAGTCCAGTGCCTTGCATCAGGTGCCCTCGGTCCATCCATCACTGCTACTGTATGTAGTTGGCATCCATGCTGCCATCCATGGTGCTCGGGGGTGCTGCATCCATCCATCTAATCTTGTACTCTCCAACCCTGGCTCAAGGGCCCTGCGCCCCATGCTCAGCTCGCAGGGTTGTCTTCAACCTTGGGTCGACGCCTGTTGCTCACTTCACTCGCACTTTGCTGCCCAGATCCTCTCCGATCCTTTCTTTTGATGACGCTTCCTCCGAGTTCCTGACAGCAATGCCTCTCTCGGTTTGCATCTTTGTAATCTTTGCAAATCAGGTCGATATCGCACTCGGACAGTTTCTCTCACTCACACTCACCCCTACATCCCTGCTCACACTTGCACTTGGCTAGCTTCGCCCACGCTTTGTCCCCCCCAAGTTCCAGCCTTAACCGTCCGTCTCTGTTTCGTCTCGCACCCATCCCATCATCGACGTCGACGTTAATCTGGGATCTTGATTCTACGCCAACTCCCCCCACTATTCCTCCCGCCTCCTGCTCTATACCCTCCTCCGTTACATGACCCAAAATCGTTTCACCAGCCTGGACTTGATCTTCAGCCTCCTCGGGGGCTGTGTCTTACTAACTTTGTCCGTGGCCTTCTCGAACTCTCCGAACCCACTGCCTCATTAACCAGTGCCCCGGTTGTCACGACTGGCCATGGCTAGTCTCAAGAATATCATGAACACCGACGACGAACACGTCGATCCGCGATCCGGAAGCCGGCCCATAGATTTGGCTTCAAGGCCGTCCCTGCGCCCCAATCCATCGGCCTCCGGCTCAACCTCATCGTCTTCCCATAACAGCAGGCCTGATCCACCTACTTCTTCGACGATATCTTCTGTCGTCGATCACCTGTCATCTTCGAGCACCAACCACAACATGACCAGCCGCCGTCGTAGCAACACGAGTCTTGACTCTCTCGAACTGTCCAGCCAGGCGGGTCCATCGTCAAACGCTCCCATGAGGCCCTTTACAGCAGGAGTGGGCAATGAGCCCCATGTCAAACTGACACCCATCACTCGAAAGATTAGCAAAGCAAAGAAGGGCGTTCCAGTTCATACCTGTGATCGATGTCCCAAGGTGCGATACCTAGCTCCTTATCTTAACTCCGGACAGTTCCAACTAACTAGCTTAGACCTTCTCCAGAGCCGAGCACTTGAGGTTTGTTCTTCTCTTCATGGCTACAACCATATCCTAACCATTTTGCTACAGACGGCATCAACTGAGTCACTCACCTCCTGATCTGTGCTGCCAGGTTCCAGGTTGCAACAAGACATTCTACAGAAAAGATCTCCTTGACCGACACATCCAGAGACAGTACGTGGACAAAGACACGTAGGACTAGGCTATCTGAAGGCTAACCTGTTGTAGTGAGCAAGAGAAAGGTGCCAAGGACCCGAAACCGTCCGTTTCTCGACGCAACTCAAAGACATCTACACAAACATGCCCAAACATGACTCAGGAGACGGGCTTGAAAATGCCTGACAACCTCAATGGACCCCGAATGGGTGCCATGGGTGGCTCAACAAACAACTCTACAATGGTCTCCGGATCGTGGACATCCATGACCGCTGCTCCAAGTGTAAGCCAGAGCTACACGACGCCGTCCAATATGACGAACACCACAGACAACTATCCTATGGGAGGAACAGACTATGTTATTGGGCCGACGACAAACGATACATTTGGTCAATATGATTCAGCACCCCGAGCTATGCCGGAACTTACAATGTTAGCCATACCTGATAACGGAGCATCAGAGGTGCGTTGGCGAGACTCAGGGATGGCTTCTTCAGCTTCAGAGAGCACCTACTCGACACCATCGGACAACATACGGCACCCACAGTTCCCCATCCGTACCTCAAGTGAGGACTGGATCAACTCTGTTCCATCTTACCAAACCGCCTCAAACGAGTTGCGAAACCCGAGCATAGAGAATGGAGCATTCTCTGTCCCTTTTACATATACCAGCTCACCCCCGCAAATCTACCAGCCCGTATTTGGTGACATGGGCCTCCCTCTCCCTGGGTACGCTGAAGGGGATACGTTTGGTAGCGCGGACCAGATCCCAACCTCTACAGTTCGTAGCATGTCCCCTTCACTGGCTGTGGCTCAATCTGAGACTTTAGTCGCCATCCCATCGATACCATCAGGTCGGATTTTCGGCCTTTCCGGGTGCGGCTCTCAGCCTCCAGATGGGGGCAGCCTATTAAACATAGAACTGCCAGTGTCGCTGAACGCAGCGGCTAGCGAGGCAGTTCCGGAATATCTCAAGGTCTACTGGGACAAGGTGCACCCCAACTATCCTATAATCCACAAGCATACCTTTGGGAAAGCAACTGTGGCCGCTGCGGAGCATCTCGAGGTGCTCCGGTATGCCATGGCCGCAGTGGCAACACAATATCTTGCTGATAAGGACGACCGCATGAAAGGGGCTCAACTGCATGCCTATGCTTGGCAAAAGTCCAAGGTGGTGAGTACAAAGCGGCCAGATCACAGCCATGACAGCTAGCTAACTAATGGATGGTAGTTTACTCAGGAAGACGAATGGCCGTTGCCTGTCAAGCAAACCGTTCTGCTTTGTGAATATTATGCACGCTTCCGCGGTAGAAAGACCCAGTCTTACAAACCCTCTCCCCGGTTCACTTCACTCTATCACAGGGTTAGTTCAGCTTGATCTTTTTTCATTTTCATCACCACCTTACTCCCCAACGACAAGATGATCTTGTCGATATTCTTCTTCTTTAACTTTTTTACATTTTCTATTCATTTCTCTCTTTCGATGAACAACTTAACTTCTCCGGATGCCATGCTCAACTCCACGATAGGTTGTCGGTGGCCAGAATAAATCTGCTCCCTTTTTGTCTACCCGTGATACCCAGCGCGCATGGAAGACGTGGATTGAAACAGAAGCCCACCGGAGGCTGGTGGCTGCTTGTTTCTTGTTGGATGTGCACAGCTCGCGTTATCACGAAGGCCAACACGTTTCTGCGGCCGGCCTGGATTATTCTTCCCCAAGTACCCTTCCTATACCTCTCACAGGCGACACAACGCAGCTCTGGGAGGCAAAAGACGCCCAAAGTTGGGCCAAGACACGAACGAAAAAGAGTCCGAAAACTCTCTGCAATACGAACCTGGGGACACTCGCCGCTTCCAACATTGCCACGGCACCACCCTTTGACGCGTCGGTCCTACTCGCGGCGTATTCGCTATTCCTCTCTCCTCTTCAGTCTCCAACACAAGCCAGCCCCATGGACAATCTAAAGGGCATCCAAACCGAGACGACTCCCATCTCAAAGCTCTTCCCTAGTTCTGCCGTTGCCAACACCTACCTGGCCCTACAATACACCCCCCTTGAGTGCCTTTTGTCGGTGGCTGGGGAGAGTTGGGTGTTTAACAAGAAGGTGCCTGAAGTGAGCACCTACAAGGAGCATCAGAAGGTGGTTGAACAATGGTGCAGATCCGATATATCGTCCATCGCAGCAGTCTTTGCTGCCCGGGCACTGAAAGCTTTCCTCAACCTGGGAGCTTCATCGGACCAAGCAGAGGAAAACAAGGCAAAAGAGACACGCCGAAAGACTGTACCATGGACAGACATCTCGGACTACTGGGGCGTGTACGTCTGCGCTCTGATCTGTTGGGCCTTCAGCCGCACGGGCGATAGGGACAGATCCAACACACCGGTATCACGGGAGACAGCGACACAGTGGATATTGGCGGCTTCAGATATGGAGCCAGCTGATGTACAAAGTCAAGTCCAACGCTACGAGGCTCGAGGAGTCGTCAAGCTTGCGCGGGAAGCGTTGGCGACCGATTGTCTCGGAGGAAGGAACATTATGTTTGAAGATGCCGTGGGGGTTTTGAAACAGCTGGAGGGGAAGTTGGTGGGGGCAGTCTAGAGGGCGTTTGAGAGAGGCCTGGCGTTGTGAAGATGGGATTGCACTTTCTTGTTTCTTTTTCCTTTTTCGTTTGGGTTCACATGGTATCATGAGGCTTTCATGAAGACGGCGCACAGAGATTGGCGTTTGGCGGTCAAAAGAGAAGGGACATTTGGTTGCACACATACGATAGAGAAGGGTGTTTATGGATGGGCTTTGACCCCCAACTTGGGGATTCAGTATGCCTCGGCATAGAGTAGGGCACAGCAGAGTAGAGTTGCAATAGGCACTCAATTTACCACTTGGCGAGTTCACATGTCTGGGTGAATGTTTGACTTGGCGGTAAAGTGGTTGAGCCCCTCTTGAGTATCGAGCTGAGACATGATGTAAATGTCATTGGGTGGGTAGGCGTTGGACACTGATACCACAGGATGCACCACATTTGTTGGTGTTGGAAGTATTTCATCGGAAGCATCGGAAGGATGCCGAAGGGTGAGATTAAGGAATGTAGCTGACAGAGGGTAATTTCAGACTGGGCTGCGATTAGTGGTTACAAGTAAGAAGAACAACGTCATGTCGGTATGAATAAAGAAGTAACGTGGTTATATGGGAAAGGGGATGTGCTGATGGGAGGGGAGCTTTGATGAGGGGCTGGATCTGGTGGCTTGGAGCGCTGTCTCAGCCTCTCGAGGTAGAATGGAAAGGATCTCTGGTCGGGATTCCAGTGACGTCGGCATGACTTGGGAGAGGGTGTCAGCGGTGAAACGTAGAGTGAGATTTGGCTGAGATTTGGGTAGAGTTTTTGTCGTGATTTTGCGAGCTGAAGGAGAAGTGGTCACTTGTGCACATGATATCGTTTATACGAAACGGGATGATTTGAGGCTCGGCAGAGAGGACTAATACGACGTGCTCAATCACATGCGAGAGAGCGTAATAAGGGAACAGGCTAGAAGAGAAATGAAGGCAAGTGAAATAAAATAACCTAGTCGAAATAAAGAAGCGGTGACGAGAAGAGAAGTAGCCGGAATGTCAGAGCGTCCTTGTCCGTGTTGAAATGATGGTGGAGGATGGGATGCGATTGTAGCGGATGCGAATTCATGGATGATTCCCTTGTAGGACTAGCTTGTCTGCACCCAAGCGGATGGGATTTGTCCTTTTTTCCCTCTGTCTCTGTGTCTCACTCATCCGCATTTTCGAGTCTTGTCTTTGTTGGATGCCTCCCGGGACAATTGTACTCAGTCGGACCATGATGAGGGCCAAGAGCTCTGATCTGGCAGGTCTACCGGAGAATCGGCACCACAAGGCCAAGAATCTAAAAGGGCCTTTTCCCGAGGGGCCGGGAAGATCAGAGGGGGAGGGATGAAGGATGGGGGGTAGCACCAGTTGCCTATTCGGGGGAGGGATATGTCGTATGTCAAAAAGATGCAAGCGTGAGAAAATACCTTGACAAAATAATACATCATTTATGGGGTACACAAGGTTCAGGGGTGAACTAGTTATTTACAGTTGCATGGTAAAAGTGTCCTATTCTTTTTACGCATCCACATTAGGCACTTTGGGATCGGAGGGATTATTTCTGTGCGGCTGGGCTGAAGGAAGCGACCTTGACCTACAGAATGGAAGGATCTGGGCCATGCTAAGCAGGCAAGCAGACGACAAAATAGCTAGTGCAGAAGCCCAGGGAATGCAGGCGAGAGGAAATGTAGTAACCCAACGACTCGCTAGAGGCTACTAAGAAGAGCAACCTCAGGGGGTAGGTTAGGTTCCCTCTCCCGCCGCAACTGTCACTGTTGCAATGCGCCGTAGTCCCCTTTTTTTCTCGCGCACTTTTTTTCCACGCTACGAGAGACCAGACGAGTTCATTTTCGTATGTAGTCCTAAGTGAGGTGACCGCCTACGTGTCCCCGTCGTCTAGGCTTTCCTCCTCCCCCGGCCAAGTCGGCACGGGAAAAGCGCGCCGCCCCAACAACAACAAACGCCCCCCCGGTGTGTGGGCGGAGAGGCGGCGTCGTTGGCTCATGCTAAGACATAAAGACAGGACGGGGGGACGGGGGAAGACTAAATTGAACGGTTGGTATGTCCTTTTATTTTCTTCTTTCTTATTTTCTAGGCTTCGAGTAATAAAAGCCAGGGTTTCCCTTTCTTTTGCGAGAGGAACTTGGAAAAAGACGAGATTAAAGACCAGGGGAAATCGCTGTTCGCTGTTACTCGATTTAGCATCACGGCACTCCTGAGTCCCTTGAGCCCTGTATCCTTAATTCAGCCTTCGCGTACCCGTACCGTAAGTAAACGGAGCTTACATTCTTGCTCTTTTCGATTTGTTTAGCTTCTTCACCTCCATTCCATCTCTTGTTCTCCTCATAAACCTCTTGTCTGCCACTCTGCCACTTCTCTCGAATCATTCTACCATCCCTACCTCGAATATCAAACGTTTACAACGCCCTCGCCTTTTGCTCCACTCAAAAGGCCTGACCGTCGACTGCACCCCGTCCCACCTCACGGCGCTGACACGGAGGCTTGGCCGTGGCTTGGCCTCTTGTCGCCTTGTTGCGTCACGCAGCCTACGAAGCCAGAATCCAATTGCTGACGAGAGAAGAAAAAGGGGTGATATTTTGGTTATACGAAAAAGAATACACGACAACTACGAAAACAGTACAAATACCGGGGTTATGTACTGCGAATAAGAAGAGCCAGAGGTTCGGGTGTGTTTGAAAGAGCGAGGAACTGAACGAAAGACAAGAAAAAAAGGGGGACAACACAAGAAAGAGCTGGAGCTGAAGCTGGGGCTGAAAAAGAAAAGGATTCAGGAGGCGGGTATCAAACAAGTCACGGCTACACGACGAAACATCCATTCACGGGCCCAATCCTAGAGAAAGTACAGGACGAGACGAGACACGCACGAGACCAGTATTGTACCAAGAGAAAGGAGGAAAAGACGACACGTTGAAGGCGACGACAACGACAACGGCAACATCCATTCCTTGGAAGTCGACCCCATCTTGGACCTTTTTTTCTGCTTCTTGGCTGGTTCTGGAGCTTCTTAGTGACGTTTTGTTACCTATTGAGCTCTCTCACACCCACCAGAGCTAAGAAAAAAACAAAAAAGGTACCTTTTTCTGCCGCTACGTCACCCCATCCCATACAGTGCCGTCTCGCCCGGCCGCTCTTCCCCGCCCTCCCGCGATCCAATCCCAGCGCCGAGATCACTTCCCGCGCGTCCCCCCTCTCACGCTTCCAGCCCCGGACCTGAAGCGCTGGAAAACCTTGGCCCTACAGTGACCTTCCAGGGCTTTGTCGTGGGCGTCATCGCCTGGAGCTGAGGGAGCCCCTCGGTCCACTGGACTGCCACGGGGGCCCGTTGGCACCTGGACCCGTCCACCCTCTCAGGCGATCCCCGCCGTCGATCGATCACTGCCCGTACAGTAGGTAGAGCTTGCCCAGCAGCTTGGCTGGCCCAGTTCGTCGTCATGGTGCGCATCATCCCGACTCGACTCAAGCCTTCGTCTCGATCCTCTTCCTCCTCCTCCACAACCATCTCTGTCAGCAACAACAACAGCAGCAGCAGAGCAAACAGCCCCCCTACGCGATCAAAGATGGACAGCACAAGCCCTTCCAGAGACGCAGGAAACGGTCTGGCTCTCAAGATCTCCATCATCAAGGTAAGCAGAGCAGTACCCCAAACCCCGACGCACACACTGGCCAGAATTCAACCCAGGGGCACCCAGCCCTGACGACGCATCACCGCCTCTTCATCGAGTTGGCTGTATTTCGCCGCTTCAAACGGCGACGCGACTGAATACATTACCCCCGAGATAACACTAACAAGAGTGCTAACATAGATTCATTAGGCTAAAGATCTCGCGGCCAAGGATCGCAATGGCACCTCAGATCCCGTGAGCTACCCCTCCCCCTCCATCCCAACATGGGCATTTTCTCGATTCTAACATGAATTTTCTCTTCAGTACATTGTCGTCTCCCTAGGCGAAGCCCGCATCGTAACCCACGACGTGCCCAAGACGCTCAACCCGGAATGGAACGTTACCGAAGAGATTCCCCTCACCTCGAGCCAGAACCTCGTCCTGGACTTTATCTGCTGGGACAAGGACCGCTTTGGCAAGGATTACATGGGCGAGTTTGCTCTTGCCCTCGAAGAGATCTTCAACAATGAAAGTGTGGAATCAGAGCCACGCTGGTATCCCCTCAAGAGCAAACGACCCGGCAAGAAGACGAGTGTCGTCTCTGGTGAGGTCCAGCTGCAGTTCTCCCTCTTCGACGCGACCAATCCCGCCGCGACACCACAGCAGATTCTCGAAAAGTTCAACATCCTCGTGGGTGCCACCTCTCGCAACATCACTCCCTCCATGACCCCCAACCTCGCCCCGACAACCATTCCCCGATCTACGCCTGCCGCGCAGGACAGCCCCAGCGACGATGACGACGAGGACGAGGACGAAGATGAGGAGGATGAGGATGATGAGGGTGACGACCAAGATCCTACCAAGCGCAAGCGGAGACTCCGTATTCGAGGACTCAAGAAGAAGCGGCGCAACAATCCATACGCGTTCGCCAGCAATGGTTCCGACGTTGTGGGAATCATCTACCTCGAGGTTGTCAAGATCACAGATCTGCCCCCAGAGTCCAACTTGACCCGCACCAGCTTCGACATGGATCCTTTCGTTGTGACGTCCCTGGGAAAGAAGACGTACCGCACTCGACGAGTGCGCCACAACCTCAATCCTGTCTTTAACGAGAAGATGCTCTTCCACATCCAGAGCCACGAGCAGCAGTACTCGTTCGCCTTTACCGTCATTGACCATGACAAGTACTCGGGCAACGACTTTATCGCTTCGTGTAATCTGCCCGTCAAGGAGCTGATCGAGAAGGCTCCCAAAGCAAACCCAGAGACTGGCCTCTACGATCTCCGAGTGCCTGACCAGGCTGTGCCGCCCACTTCGCGATCACGCTTCAAGAAGCTTGCCGTGTCGCGCTCGTCGTCATCGCAGAGTCTGAGCAAAATGATCCGACCCACAATGAGCAAGAACGCATCGAGCACTAGTACTACATCGATTGACCCGACTTCAACGCCCTCGGTCACTAGTCGCAACTTGCTGACACCGGGCGAAGCCATTGCCAACACGGGGGTTGACAGCGACTCGAGCCAAGAGAACGGCGATCCCGGCTTCAACGATTACACCGTGTCCCTCAAGATGAAGAATTTGGACAAGTGGGAGAGCAAGCACAACCCCGTGCTCTATCTCCGCGCCAAGTACATGCCATATGATGCACTCCGGCAGCAATTCTGGAGAGCCATGCTCCGGCAATACGACGCAGACGAGAGTGGTCAGATTAGCAGAATCGAGCTGACGACGATGCTCGAGTCTCTGGGCTCCACGCTCAGTGAGACCACCATCGACAGCTTTTACCAGCGCTTCCCGCACAGGGACGCTGACAATGACGAAAACTGGGAACTCACAATGGATGAGGCGGTCATCTGCCTGGAGGATCAGCTAGAGCCCAAGAGGAGATCATCGGGCACCGTGGGCGACAAGCTCAAGGGTCTGGTTCCTGAGATGAAGAATCTCCTCCACATATCAGGCCATGGCAACAGCGGCGGCTCAGAGAGCTCCAGTGTCCTGGAATTGGAGCCGCCCTCGGGCACGCAGACGCCCTCATCGGTCACCAACATTCCTGCGCTCAGGACCCCTGCGGATGAGGATGGTGATCCTCTGGACAAGTCGGACAGCGACGATCGTAGTGAAGAGCATGTCGTTGAGATCCGAGAATGCCCCATCTGCCACCAGCCGCGACTCAACAAGCGCAAGGATGCCGACATCATCACTCACATTGCGACTTGCGCGAGCCAGGATTGGAGACAGGTCAACAGCGTCCTGGTCGGCGGCTTCGTGACAGCGAGCCAGGCGCAGCGCAAGTGGTACTCCAAGGTCATCACCAAGATCTCGTACGGTGGATACAAGCTGGGTGCCAACTCGGCCAACATTCTGGTGCAGGATCGACTTACGGGTCAGATCAATGAGGAGAAGATGAGCGTCTACGTGAGGCTCGGCATTCGTCTGCTGTACAAGGGTCTCAAGTCTCGGGATATGGAGAACAAGCGAAGTGGGTTTACAATCTGAGGACTACGAAGAATGTGCTAACGTGAGAATAGTCCGGAAACTGCTCAAGAGCCTGAGTATCAAGCAGGGCAAGAAGTTTGACGACCCCGCCTCAAAGGAGGAGATTGAAAAGTTCATCGAGTTCCACGGTCTTGACATGACCGAGGTTCTCCTGCCCCTAGATGAGTTCAAGAACTTCAACGAGTTCTTCTACCGTGCCCTCAAGCCCGGAGCTCGCCCATGCTCTGCGCCTGATAACCCGAATATCATCGTGTCACCCGCAGACTGCCGTAGCGTTGTCTTCAACAGCATCACACAGGCGACCAAGATCTGGGTCAAGGGCCGCGAGTTTAACCTCAAGAGGCTCTTGGGCGATGCCTATCCCGAAGACGCAGCCCGGTACGAGGGTGGTGCGTTGGGTATCTTCCGATTGGCGCCACAGGACTACCACCGCTTCCACATTCCTGTAGACGGTGTCATGGGCAAGCCCAAGACGATCGAGGGAGAGTACTACACGGTCAACCCCATGGCTATCCGCTCAGCACTTGACGTGTACGGCGAGAACGTGAGAATTCTGGTGCCTATCGACAGTGAGAGGCACGGAAGAGTCATGGTGATCTGTGTCGGTGCCATGATGGTGGGCAGCACCGTCATCACTCGCAACGAGGGTGACCAAGTCCATCGAGCAGAGGAGCTTGGCTACTTCAAGTTTGGTGGCAGCACAGTTCTTCTGCTGTTTGAGCCTGGTCAGATGCTGTTCGATGATGATCTTGCAGACAATTCTAGCGGAGCGCTTGAAACTCTTGTAAGTCGATTTCGGACAGAAGGAAAGACACAGATAGCTAACGTTGTCAAACAGGTTCGCGTGGGCATGTCGATTGGACACTCGCCAGCAGAGTCACAGTGGACTCCTGACATGCGCAAGGACGAGGAGAACATTACAGAGGCAGACAAGAGAGATGCCAAGCGACGAATCCAGGGCAACGTGGCGTTGCAGGACTCGCCTGAAGGCAGCGGGGACGATAAGCCGCCTCACCGACCGACGACAGCGCCCACCATCAACACCATGGCCGCGTCGGCGATGTAGAGGCGGCGGCGACAAGGCAGAAGGGAACGATGTAAGCGGAGGAGCCGGCGGTGGAGACGCCGAAGACGAAAGATACATTCAACATTGGCTAGGGTATGTAGAAGGCTATTATGGGCCGTTTGGGGCATCAACAGGACGGCCATTCGGTTGGGCGAGGTTGGGATATATTGATTGTGATGAGAAATGACGAGAACGAGCACGAGAGACCAACATCAGAGCTGGGAAGAAAGCGAAAGCGGAAACGAAAGGAAACAAAACAACAAAAGGAACAAGCAGCCATAGCCATGTCTTTGTAAATACGTGTCATTGGGTGAAGCAGGTAGTATCGATATGCGTACATGCAAGGTTTGAGTACAGGGGCATGTGAATTGTGCTGTAGTATTGATGTCAATTGTTGGGCCATGTATAGGACTGTGAAGGACTGAACGTAAGATTCCAGCCCCATCGGTTTCTAGAAGGGCTCGGTTCGGAAAGGAGAGGAAGGGGCTGCGGTGTCAGATCGGGTCGAGTTCCCGAACCGAGCGAAGCAAACATGGTGGATGTCCATGACATGAACGCATTGCATTGTTGGACGTGGGGTTTGTATTGAAAGACATGGGGAAACTTGTATCTGCCTTGTTTTTTATTCTAGCTAAATGTATTCAAAATCTAGATTAACTCTTTGAGATTCTGTTCAAATGCCGTCGAGATAAGCCGGACGAGGCTATTCACAATGAGCACGTGATGTGGGGACTGGCCTTCCCAAAGTGGATAAAGGGAGCACCGACCTTTCGGTCCAGGGTCAGGATCGGCGGGTCCCGATCTTCCAAGGATTGGGAATGAGCAGATGGTCAGGCCACTGCGGCGGGTAGGAGCGAGGCACCGCTATCCGAGGGTCCATTTTGGTCCTTGGATGTGAGATGAGATTTGGGAGGGATCTTGGGCAGATTTTCACAGGTGGACAATGTCTTTAAAGTGTTTAAAGTGTTTGATATGTTATTGGTTTTGGGTATCTATCAGCAGCTAAACAGATGCTTGCTGGTGCTTAAAAAAAGAGAACTTGATAATAAAAAAAGAGGCCGTTGCAAGTTGTTGTTGTTGTTGTTGATTAGGTTAGGTGTTTATTTCCCACTTTGTCCCCGTCCCTAGCGCGCCCTTGTTGTACCTGTTGATCGGAAGAATGATGCCATCGACGCTTGCGTGTCATGTTAACGCCCTCGGCGGGTCTCGCACGTCTTGGAGTAACAAGTGTCGTTATGTCACTCCGACGTGGGATGCCGTGATGTTTGCTCTCTCGGAGCTGGCCTTTTTCTTTTCCCCACAGGGTTTTCTGGGCTGTTTATGGTGGATATTTGTTGGTCGTGTGCCAGGGGATGCAATGTTGGGCCCCTAGAAAGAATGCCGAAAAGGAGATGAAAGCAATACGCCAGTTGCTAATCCCAGTGAAAAGAGAAACTCGTCTAGCGAGTTTGAAAGAGAATAGAGTCAAAAGGTTTAGTGACGACTGTTGGGGTTCCATTCTGATTCAGACGCGTTGGAGGGACGTCGCTCGGAGCGGATCTGGGCGGGAGGAGAAGGGGAGCGAGAAAAGGGACGGATGAAGGACGGCGATGGCTGAGAGCAGTTGGGCTCTGGCGAGGTCTGTCGAGTCTGACGCCAGGAGGCGTAGATTTGCTTGCAGAGGTGGGCGGTCATTGTGTAGGTCATGATGGCGGTTGTAGTAGTAGTAGTAGTAGTAGTAGTAGTAGTAGTAGTAGTAGTTGTTGTTGTAGTGTAAGTGAGGTTGAGTGACTAAGCTGGATGAATCAACTGAATGTGTGTGATGGTAAAGAAAACAAGATTAAGAAAGGAAGGCTGGTCCTTATTTATTAGATTCCACGAGGCTCTAGAGTTCCACTGACTGACACACACACACACACACCCCCGTTGAAAAGATGGGGGACAACCAAAAAGAGACGCGTGGGATCAATCAAGATCCCTGGCTGTCGTCGGTACCTGGAGTGGAACCTAACTGCCTGCAGTCAGTCTGACTCTTTGAGAGGTACCCGCTTCTTGTTCTTGTTCTGGGCTGTCTTTTCACCCGAGTCGAATGTCACGGCCCATCAGCGAACCGAGACCCTTTGGCAGGAGAACCCGGAGGAGCTCCTCCCAGGTGTGTTTTTGACCAATGGCGTTGACGACGTTGTAATAATCAGCTGTGTGGCGGTGCGAAATCGCATGACCTTTTTATCTGTGGCTGTGAGGCAGCCAGAACTGACTGGGCTGTAGAATCCCCTGAAAGTCTGGACCTGAAAAAGACAAGTCAGCAACATGTCTTTTCAAGTGGTCGAGAATTAAGCCCATCAGCAACATCTGCAGGGAGCACAGACAATCAATCTATCTACCTACCTAATGTCAGCTTCAAGCTCAACTGCAACCAACGTCTCATGGAACCACTCCCTCTCCAGCGTGGGGGTTTGAAGCTTTTGATGCACGATTTCCCCTTGAATCGTGAGAGGACCCATCTTTGATTATCTCTCATCGTAGGTTGCATCCTAGCGGGATCGCCTGCCTTTTCGCTGGGGAATCGACTGTTGAAACAGTCTGTGGCTGAGACAGTGACCCCACGTGACGCACCTCTACACACCATCTTCTTAAAATATCCCCTGGTGTCCGGCTAGCCCCGCAACTCGATCAGCTCAGCCCTGTCAACTTCTGGGCTGAAGTGGTGCATCAACACCACCATCGTGGCAGTTGACGCCGGCGCTAGCCTACTTTTTCAAGACCCTTCAAGATCTAACCACCTTCCAGATTATTCTAGCTACCCTTTGTCAAAGAGACTAGAGTCCATCTCTGATTAAGGATCCACTACTGTCCTTGTCAGTCATGACATCTACCTTGAACCAACCATCTCGGCATTTGAGATCATACCCCTCAAGGTGTTCACACACACCTGGATGGCGTCAATCATCCATGACCCAGCTTGAAACACATTTCAAAGGCATCAGGGTCACCTTCATCTCACGGAACCAATCACGTCAATGACAAAGAAAATCTTTATTCATTATATGCCCAACTAAACTTTTCTCCCTCAATAGCTTCTCCTTAAGACGACACACCGGGTATATCTAACTACCACATCAAACAAGACATTCAAACTCTTGACCAAAATCCAACAAACACCAGGACAAATATCAATACCAATACAAGCTCCCATATAATGCATAATGCCAGACATTCACCAAAATCACCACATCACAGAAACATCCATGGCATGGACATGCATTCAACATCATGTTAATGTACTCCACCTCCACCTCTCATGCACCTCCAACTTAGGCGTACGCTCTCCCCACCATGATATCCCCCACAGGTCGTCCCGAGAATGTCGCGTGTCCGGCATTCATCCCCACGCCTTCTCGCACCACCCCCCATCGAACCTCGAGCGCCTCCACGCCGCTCTCTCGTGGTACACGGTGGCATCTCGCGCTGAGCACCGCTGAGCAGGTTCCGCCTCGGAGAGTGAGCGGGTTTCCTGCCGGCTGGCCGCTCTCAACGGCACCCCGGGGATCCACTTTTCGAAGCGATAGCCCCGCGACTCCGAGGCCTAGCACCAACATGAGGGTAACTAGTATAAGTAGGGGCAGCGGGCTGAAGCCAATGCCAGACGTAGAGCCCTCGCTGTGGTCCAGTGACACGAGGAACACACCTTGGCTCAGGAAAAACGCCATAGCCGTCACCATAAAGAAGAGCAGCCATGACACGGGTCGGGGTAGAGTAAGATATAGCGAGGTCGTCTGTGCTCCGATGGGCTGACCCGAAGACACTCGGAACGGGAGAAGAGAGCCGAGCGAGTACTGAGAGAACTCGTGCGAGAGGTACAGGAGCGTCACTAGCGCGTTGGTCGAGACGTACAGGACACCCAGGAGAAGTTGAGGCAGCGCAGCAATAATTGCCAGGCCAGCTCGGGATGCTCCCTCAGGCAACTCATACACCACCGTGGCCTTGCCGAATGATGAGAAAGGGTTCTTGGGTCCCGCAAGCGCACCCAACACCAGTGCCGCCACAGCCAGAGCAAAGGGAACGAACCAGGCCGAGGCCCAGGCCGCCCATCGCGAGAACGAGGGCACCTGATACCACCGGCTCGACTGCGTGAACCAATACTTGGCCTCACGCTCACCCCAAATGCCCTTCTTAATCTCAGCCTTGGTGATGAGGCATGAATCCTGCGTGGTCGGATCCGGATCGGCGAGGAACGAGGTAAGGGCGTCGCCAAGTGTGACAAGAGGGTTGAACGATCGTTGAGTGAGAGCCAGGGCGAGAGAGATAACCAGAGCGAGGACGATGACTAGGTTGACAAGAGTAATAGCTCCGAGGAGGGGTCCGTTGACATTGAGCGAAGCCTCCGACTCTCCCTGGTAAGGTTCGGCAAGGCAATAATCGATCGAATCCTTGGAGCTGTTGTTTTCGTCGAGTAGATCAGACAGTAGGCCTCCTTTGGCGCTGTTGATTTTGGAAGAGCCAGACTTTGTCACGACAAGACCAGAGCTGTAGTCAGTTTGAAACGCGTTGTCAAACACCGAAATACACTCATCCGTCTCAATTCGAGTGAGAAGGGAAAGAGTCTTGACGTCTTGGTTGTCGATAAACGATTTCGAAACGAGGCGAAGATCGGTAACGGGTGCCGTATGAGATGTGATGATTAGGCCATTATAGCTGTGAAACTGTCAGCATATCTGCTGCTGTTAAGCAAAAACAAACACAAGCCAGTGACCTACATTACTTGAGAGATAACGGCGAGCACGAGAATGACTGCGGAGAGTGTAGCTCGCGTGGGTGAGATTAGAAACAGGTTTCGCACAGATGGGATGCCAATATCGAGCCACTTGCGTTGCTCGTGAGCATTGTCCACCTCTGCGCGAGTCGGGCTGCTGAGAATCTGGAAGACGTAGTTGGCTCCGGCGATGAGGATAATGCCAAAGATGTTCACAACCGCTAGAATCCCCCGACTGATACCCTCCACCTGGGTTGACTTTCCCTCCATCAGAGACGAAACGTTGGTCGAGATATGTCCCTTGGCAGCTGCAAGGGCGAGACAGATAATGGAAGCAACGAGAATGAGAAGGGCCAGAAGAACATTTGCGGCGACACCTCCCCTCCAACCAGCCATCAGTGATCGTGGAGCCTGTGGTCGTTCCTCCTGAAGCATCTTTTCCCGTTCAGCCCTGGGCGTACCTGGTCTCGAGTTGTTTGGTGAAGTAGAAGCCGAAGCGATAAAATCTCCATCAGTTCGTGAATCACGAGCACGAGGGAACTGACCCGGCTCTGGGCTCTCTGGGATGCGGTGCTTCCGGGCCAGAGACTCGGGTGTCTCCCCGCGGATAAAGTGGACGACATAGTCGGGGATAATGTCGCTGCCCAGCACAGTCGATACGGAGCGGCTGATGCTGCCGGCAGCACGGCGAGGAAAAGAACCCGAGCTGTGCGGGATAGATCGCGAGTTGGATTGTCGTCGTCCATAGGTGGGGATGGAAGATCGTGAGTTGGTGAAGCTGTGAAAGGGCCATCGGACGGTTTGCCGGCCTGAAGAAGAGGTGAAGCCTCGAGTCCGGCTCGTTGGAGGACGTGTTGTAGAAGATGATCCAGGTTCCTCCGAGATGCTGTTGTCGTGTAAGTCGGCGTTCGTTTTTGATGAATAGCAAATATCATTCTTTACCTCTCAAAGTTCATAACCGAGCCCGGCTTCTCCCAAACCCATGGTCGAAATCCCCGGGCAGAAGGGGGTCCCTCCATTGAAGTGATGGTCTATGAGAAGATGGATATGTTGGGGAAGGGTATACAAGCAAGTTCAGATCAAGGTGAAGGATGTAATGCCAGATTGTGAGCCAGAGAACAAGATCAAATGGTGGTAGCACTGCTTCTCCAAAGGGGACAAAAATAGACTCGGTCACTACGAACGAGGCACAAATCAAGAACAGACGATGGATGTGAGAGGGGGGGGGGGGGGGGTGAGAAGATGAAAGGCTACGATGAGGAGCACGGCTAGCCTCAAAGACAGATACCAAGATGAAAAGAGGACGAGATAGAAACGAAAAGAGCGGAAGAGAAGAAAAAATGAGTGTACAGAAAGGAAGGCATCAACAGTCAAGTCAAAGCAACAGGACGTGTTGGAGGAGGAGAAGAGACGGGACGAGACGAGGGAAACCCGGGAACCAAGAGGAGACGCGAGAGGAACACGACTAGAGAGCGAATGCATGCTCGTCATTCAACTCCCAAGGCGAGGGATCCTAGTTTCTCGCAAGGATGCCCCCTCAAGGGGTCCTTGTAAGCATTTGCATGAATTCGAGGGCCCCGCCGGCCAATCAACGCGGCCCGACGCCAACGGATATCCCGCCAGGGGGACGTGCTCATGTTTCGGGATCAGCACAAGGCTTTGGGGGCAGAGTCAAGGTTGGAGTCGAGGTGGACAGTTCTTTTTAAATCAGGAGCAAGAATGGATCGAGTCTTGGTCCAATTACTCTCTGTGCTTGTGCGAACTTCAGGTCATGGATCCAGCACGGGCCAGACCACAAAGACGAAGAAGAGACACGAGCTCAATAGACAATGAAGACATCTCGTTTTGACGCCGGTAGTTGGGTACCAAAGCAAGTAACCCCATCTTGCATCAAAAAGGTTGCGATTCGCTGTCGAAGCTGCATCTCAAGCGGTGAAAAAAGTCGGCCAGCCTTGCCAGCTCAGCAGCACACCACATATAACTCCCACATTAAGACTTGCCAGCTCTGCCCTTCTTTTCTTTTTTGCAGCCCGACAACCAGTGACTCAACACGTCGAGGCTGGGCTTAAAACTCGGCCGCCTAGGCGCATCATCGACCCTCTCTCGTCAGATTTCTCTGCTGGTCCAGAGTAGCATCGACGAAGGAAGTGTCTGGGGTGGCGGTGCAGGGCAGGGGGATGGATATACACGCGCTAGAAAAAAGAGGGCCGTCCCATAGCGCCCTAGATCCTGGGTTGAAACGCACAAGAAAAGAATTGTTGAAAAAAGAAACACACGGACGGGAATAAAGATGGATGAAAAGATGAGAGTCCAATTTGACTGTCGCTCCAGATGTTCGAGAAGGCGGGTAGGCAGAGGGAAAGAGAGACCCTGTGGCTTCCTTGCCGTCTCATACCCCGACACAGCCTTAACCCGGAAAAGGAATGGCTCGTGTTTCAAGTTGCCTAGAATGGAATAGCGCATGTTGCAGGTCGTTCTGGGTCTGGGTCTTCAAGTTTAATTAAGGGACGTGACATCACGGGCCATCAGCATGCCATTGCAAACCTCTAAAGAGACGAACCCTTCATTTTGCCTTGGCCGTCATAAAACCGTCTTACTCTTTCATTCACTCAGCTGTGTAGTGGATCATCATCACATTGATTATCCTAAATCACCATGCCTAATTATATCCACTTCTTATGCACACTCTTCTCCTCCCGTCCAGCCCCCGGCTCTCCTGCTCACACGCATCATGAATATACCAACCCTGGCAAATAGGAACATCATTCTCGATAAGTATGCGCAGTTCATATTACGGACCATCGATATATCAGCCCTGGACGTCATCCCCAGACCAGCCGGGAAAGGAAACATTCCAGGGGAGCAGCTGAAGCACAAAAATAGCACCACCCTCCTTCACAAACGCCTATCCCCTGTCTCTTGTTCCCACAACCTAGCTTTCGCAGATTGAAACAACATCTATTCGTGATAACATTGTTCCCTCGAGTCTCCAATAGAGGATAGTCAACGAGCCCTTAGCCCATCCCATCTTACAAAGCCCACTATCCTCTTCAAACAGCACGCAACAGCAACATCAACTCCCCGCTTAAAAGCAAAACAGAACCAGAAAATCGTAAACGAGCGCCGTGGCTATGCGAATCTTGATGCACTTTTCAGCACAAAACGTATCCTCCCCCTCAACCGCCCCTCCCGTTCCTTGATTAGGCCAACAAGTCCTCGCGTCTACTCATGACGACGACAATGTCGTGATCATTCCTTTACAGTGCTCTTGTTGGGCAAACCCCCTCAACAACTTCCCCACTCTCTTCTCTTATCCCGAGTCTTCCGGACACTCGGTGCCTATTTCAGTCGACGATCGCGCTCTCATCGATTGCGCTCTCGTCAGCTTTGTTGAGAGCCTCCGTGTTCTTGGGAACAGTGATGTTAGCAGCAGCCTTGTGCTGTGCCTCGGCAAAGTGCTCCCAATGCTCCGGATCACTCTCTTCCATGCTCTTGAGCGCAATATCACGATGCTCTTTGAATGCCCTCACAGGACCCTTCTCCTTGACAATCTCATAAAGCTCTCCGCCAATATCCTCCGCAAGTTCCGAGAGCATCCGAACGTGCTTCGGGTCAGAACTGATGTCGTCGATCGTGCTGAACAGGTCCATCTGCTCCTGCTTGAAGAAGCCAACACGGAACCGATGACCGGCCCGGAGGATCCGACCCTCTTCCTCTGCCAATGTTTTGGCCATCGAGTTCGACCTTGACAGTGCTCCGGCCGCATTGAGCTCGGAATCATCCTCGTTATCTGAAAGAGCCAAAGAGGGATCCTCTGGTGGGAGTACAATTGGAGCCTCCACTGCTCCCTTGGTTTCGGCCCGTGGTCGAGCTGGCTTGATAGGCTCTTCGCGTGTATCTGGATACTCGTCCTCGAAACGCTTGATGATACCCTGCAAGGTATCGTCCAAGAAGGTCAACCTACGCAGGTTGTCCTGATCACCAGGGTTGGCCCTGGCTTTGATCAGTGCTGGCTGGAGACGGAGCCGGATCTTGCGAGCTCCCATCAACAAATGCTTCGACATGTCCTTCGCCTTTCCTCCTGTTGATAGTGTTGGCGCGGGCCTCGATTCACCGTTCTCGACCTCACGAATGAACTCGCCCGACTGTCTCCGGGACTCATCACCCCGGTTCTTCAAGCAACAGGTCAACGCCTTGACCACGCCGGTGCCTCCAATAACATAATCCTCGTCGGGCGCCGAACCATCGATGTCGATATCCTCATCCTGATCTAGCACGTCGTGTCCGACAAGATGCGCAAGGACATCGGGATAATTATGGTGCTTGTGATCATGCCCCTCGAGACCATTCTCAGCCAAAGTTGAAGCAAGAGCCGCATTGATATCGGCGTCAGGGATTCGTTCCATGTTTCGCAGGCAGTAGGCAACGACCTGTTTCGCCATTGCCTTGACGATTTCTCCAGACCGGTCGCTTGGAACTTCAATGTCCACGCAGATGAGGCTCTTGGACACGCGAGCCGCTGCAAGTAGGGAGGCATATAAAGCGCAGGCCTCCTCTTGGGCCTCCTCAGTCCTCGCGTCGGCCAGCTTCATTATCTCGGTGTTGTTGGTAATGTTAATGTGTGCAAGGGCCTTGACTTCGGGCAGGACTTCAACCAGGGCAATCGCCTGCTCTGGTGTCATCTGAACATCCTCGAGATGAATGCGCTTCAGGGCCTTCATCTTGGGCAGATATCTGGATCAAGTTAGTCAACTGATGTATGCAAACGCTAAACAATTACGAAACTCACCTTCTGAGCAGGCCAACGGCGCTGGGAGTTGACTGGAACAACGCCGGATTCTGCGACAGATCGATGAAGCGAAGGCCAGTCAACTTGGCCATGGTCGGAAGAATCTTGCAGAGAGATGACGGCGACAGGTTGCAATCAGCCAGACTCATCGCCCATAATGTCGATTGATCATTGTTGATGGCCGCTGCTAGGGCCTCGGTGTGCTCGCTGAGATCGTTTCCGCCAAGATCTAGACCCTCACAGTTACCGGCAGCGAGGAACTTGATGATGTGCCGCACACCTTCCTCATCGATCTGGTTGTGTGATACACCTAGCCGGCGAACACCACACTTTATTAGTCCGTCGATAATTGTCCCCAGTTGCTCCATGCTCAGACCAGTCTCGCTCAGGTTGACCAATTCGAGAACTGAGCCGCCAAGACGTTCCCCAAGCGCCTTGGCAAAAATGTCTGATATACCTCGGGGGATCTGAACGCCATTGGGCAGTGAACCATTCTGCTGCATCTGAGGTTGGCGAGGGAATTGAATCTGGGAGAGGTCAAGGAATTTAAGGGGTCGACAGAGGTAAGTGAAGAGAGACAGATGCTTCCACCCATCAGGACCGATCTTGTTGTTTCTTAATACAAGTCGTTCCACAACACCGCCCTGGTCCTCGAGGTCGTGCTTGGGTTTCCCTCGTTTCGAGACGCTGCGCTTTGCGGCAAGGAGGCCGGCCAGGATGACTCGTACACCCTCGTCGCTTAGCCCACTGTTCTCCAACAACACTTCCCGAACAGGTACAACGGCTAGATAATCTCCAAGGGTGATCAGATCCGGTAGCTGGAGCCAGTAGTTGGTTAGATCGAGCTTGTTCACCACGCCAGTCGAGGACGAGTAATTGGACGAGTCGTTGAGCTGTTCAGTGATCTTCTTAAGAATCGGCGTCTCGCGTAGCTGACAGCATCTTCGGTAGATGCGAACAGGGTTAGTAGTTGGGTAAGACGTCGTCTTAGGAGCCTTGACAACCGGAGGCGTCTTGGTGTTGGTGTTGGTGTTGGTGGAAGAGTCGCTACTGTCATAACGGATTTCCATGGGGATTGATCCATTGGCCTCTGCGAGCTTGCGCTTCTTTTCCTTCCTGGCCTTGCGTTCCTCCTCGCTCTTCTTTTTCTTCTCCTTTTTCTTAGTGTTCTCTTCCTTCTTCTCGGATGCCAGGGCCGTGCTGTCGTTGGCGGTCTCGTTCTTGGCTTCGTTCTTGGCCTCGTTCTTGGCCTCGCTCTTGGCGGCTGGAGGAGGAGGAGGAGGAGGAGGAGGAGGAGGAGGAGGAGGAGGAGTTTCAGTTCCCTCCTTCTCGGGCTCTTTTGGAAGAGGTTCCCCAGTAGTCTTCACTGCTCCATTGGTCTCCTTCTGTTCCTCTACAGCCTTTGGGTTTTTGAGGGCCTCCCCTTCACCCTTTTCTGTCATCTTCTTCTTTTGCACCTTGTCGACATTGTTAGGCTGCGCAGTTTCGCCCTCGACGTACCGAGGCATTGGCGCAATTTCGACGTCGACGCAAAAAGCCACCCTTCGCAATTTGGCGCAATGGAGTTCGGATATAGGACATCGCTCCCGGTTCTGGTCCACATTCAAAACCACCCTGTCGACCAAACCGTGTCCTAACTTTCCGCCAGGCGAGAGTGCACCGCTAGAGGACGAGGATAGACGTCTAAACACACCCAGGAAGCCGGCTTGACCACTCTTTGGCGGGGCTGGTATATAAGGACCGTCACCTTCGGGTTTAGAGGCATGTTGCAGGACAGCATTCTTTGTATGCGAGAGTTTGGGAGGAGCGGGATCGGAGATTGGACTGGGTGTCTCTGGTATTGAAGCCGGTGTTGGTGGGTTGGCGGGAGGAGAGCTGGAGGAGAACTTTGCAGAAATATTGGAGAACCATGAATTGCGACGGTGCGGCGGAGTTCCAACCGGACTTGGTTTATCTACAGAATTCGAGCGCGAGGGTCTTCGTTGAGTAGCAGAACCGTTTGAGGGCACAGCTTGGCCATTAGTTGTACCGTTGGTATCGGGCGACGGGTTGTCTGTCGGGGCCGAAGCCGGCGATTTTGGTCTCGTAGTTGCGCCAGGAATCTGTCGCGGCAGGGCTGGCGAGGGACCCTTGGAAGGAGGTGAATTCCTTGACGCTTTTTCTACTCTAGAGGTCAGCTCGGAGTCGTCGTCGTGGTTATCCCGGGAGGCGATGCGATGGGACGAGGACGGGTGGCGACTTGGAAACATGCCTTTGGGAGCGCCATGGGTCATCCAGCTCACATCTACGCCGTGGACCTGCTCCATGCTGGGATGGCGGCAGCGACGAGGCTGAGGAATGTGGATATGAGAGTAGTAGATAGATGGATGCTGTGGATATATTGGGGTGAAGGAATATCTCAGATATCGGATCAAGGGAGGGATTTGTAAAGAAAAGAGGAGAGAAGGTGTGTCGAGGTGGTGGTGGTGGTGGACGGTGGGCGAATGCTGGAGATGGTCGAGGGTGGGCTGGATTTGGTTAAGAATGGTTTGGCTGAGTGGAGGGAAGCTAGATTGGATTGCCCTGCTACAGGTAGTAGCAGGTACCCAGTAACTAGGTTGGAGTACCGGGAACAGTGGTGCGCTTGTGCTCTATCCGTCGAGTACAGGTACATTTACCTTTCTACCGGCATTAGTTGACTAGCGCGAGTCGGACGCTGGCATGGCTCGCGGTCTCGGCCTGGAGCGGGACAATGATGACGGGGGGAGATGAACAATGAGGCTTCTCTTCTTTTTCATCTTGATCTTATTGATTGATTTATGGTGAACTTATGCGCAGGCGGGGGCGAATGCGCGGGCGTACAAGTACCGTTGACCTGAGGCGAGTGGATTACATGTATCATGGCCATTCAATCATCGCCAGCTCCAGCTCGGGTGCTTGCTTTGCTTGTGCTGACCAAGGCATCAAAGCAAACTAAACTCTGTGCTTGTACCCTACTAGCTAGGGCTGGATCATCAAGCATGACGGGGGTTTGTGGAGTCCAGTCCTTGACTGACGGATAAAGATGCATGGTCACTTTGCTGTCCGCGGGAGGGGGGGGGGATCTGGTTGATACCATTGACGAACAATCTCGTAAAAAGGAGACTGATTGTAAGACCATGACAATTTCAAAAAGACCTTGTCCCAGCTTCAAACCAACACAAACAAATCCCCCATGATCAAACGGCAAACGGGTAGAGGAGGCTTCGGGCGGGCAAAGAGTTGTCTGTCGGTAGGTACCCCGGCTTTATCGGCGTCAGTGCGAGCGCCGTGGCCGATTCTAGCGACCACCACTCATCATGGGTTGGTGAGATCCTGGATCCCGGATATCCAATCCTCGGAGGCGAGCAACGGGAGAGAGGCTTTTGCTTTGTAATTCTTTCCCGTCCAGCCAGCCTTGAAAACCCCAATCCTCGTGGTTTTTCAGCCATCGAGATGTAAACATGGGGGAAAAGGGGTAACCCGTCATTTCCAGCTGGAGAGAATTAAAACAATGACACCCCGGGTTTCCTTGTGCAAGCAACGTCTGATGATGCATCTCCTCCCCTCAGCCCATGATGGGCACAGAGCAGAAAATCGACAGAGGAGGAAAAAATCGTCACACAATCCCTCGTGATACATGGTAACTGACAGGTTGCAGAGACCCTCGCGGCGCACGTGTCTTGTAAGGGAAATCTTGGCGAAAAAGCGATGCGATGTCATCAGGGTTCGTTGCTGTTGTTCCCCGTCACACAACAGGATCCATTTCTTTCTCTCACCTTCAGCCTTCACCTTGTGTCTTGTTCAGGAGTGCAAGTCCGGGGAGCCAATCAGGCTGGTATTGAAGGTAAGGAACATGACATCAAAGGGGGGTGAGGGAAAAAAGCAAAAAAGGTGCCCAGAGATGCCGAGCTTTGTCCATTATGTGCCGAGACATGGAAGAATCCTTTTACACGCAGGTGCATCCTTCAACTTTTTTTTGACAGCTTCTTCAAGAGTTCCTTTTCTATCATGAACCAAACTGCCTGATCTTTGTCTCCGATCCCAACCTCTAGACATGGCTGATGATGGTATGTTTTGGCGTTACTTTCGGCTTGCCCCTCCCTTGCACGCGCCACCCCAAACAGCAGAAAATCGTCACCAAGCCCGCAGATTGTCTGATGCGATGCGGTGGGATGGATGGGGATACCCGCGCGGGCGCCCACCCGCATTCACGTCGGGGCCGGAATATGCACCCGCTCCGAGGGATAGACAGAATCGGGAATCGCCACGACAGTTTTACGGCTGAAAATAACGAAATAACGTCCGAGCCCCAGCAAAACAAGTCCAGTCTCTCCCCTGGCCGACCGGGCTTTGCTTTCATCCCCCGGCCGTTGCTTGTTCATCGTCAACAAGACGTGCCGACCTCGGCCCGCGATCCCATCATGTTTTCCTGCTCGAGATGACCTTGATTTCATCATTATTCAAGGGTCCTTGCTCCGTCAGTATCCACTCCCGGCGTCAGGTTCCGTTCCGTGGAGAGCCATTATTCCACCCCTGGATGGATGGATCCCCCGCCTTCGTCACTCGCTTCTATTCTCCCGTGATGGATACATGCAACCTCGAGTATAATTCCGCCGCTCGGGACTGGGACTGCAGAAAGAGGGATATTGGTCAATCGCTTCCGTCAGCCGCCTCTAAGCAACGCTCCGTCACTGTCCGAGTCCGAAATACCCGGAGGGAACCCTAACCCCAGCGACGGTTCCAGATTACTCATGCATCCTCATGTCTCATGCTCCATCGGTCTGGTATAACTTTAAGAGAGATTAGCTCCGGGCCGTTGCTTCCAGGTCGCGAATTTCCACGAGATGCAAGACTTGGTTGGAAACTCTCTCAACCGTCGTCTTACCAATGAGCTCACCACTGTTGAGCCTCATGTAAGCAGCAGTTCCGAGACTTGGCGATGGTGTCGTGCCCTAAACTCAATGACTTGACAAAGTTCAACGTCAGCCCTGCCAGCGCTCCTTTGAGTTGCGTGCAACTCTCAGACTAGGCCCACAATGGGCAAGGGCACACGCACACACATACAGTACAAGTACACACACTCACACGACACGACACAACAAGCACAAAACTTGAATCGAGTACAATCAGACACCCGTTCACCACAGCTATGGAATTTGGCGGGAAGGTATCTTTTTGATAATTCATTCATGTGACCCAGTGTACGGACCTTTCCTTTCCTCGAAACTCCAAACCCAATGCCAAGGTTAACAATCGTCAAATGCCCACACGGTTGAAAACTTTTTATTCCTCGTCCAGAAGCTCGGCGATGCGCTCCTGCACCCGCTTCTCCTTCTGCTCCTTGGTCTGCTTGGGGGTTCGGTACTTCTGGGAGATGGCCTTCCACTCCTCCTTGGTCTTCTTCTCACCCTCACCCTCGGCCTTCTTGAAGGGGTCCTCACGGATGGCGGCGTGGGCCTCAGTGTAGAGATCCTCAAGACCCTCAGCCTCGACATCGTCGTCGATGTACTTCTGGAACTGGCTGCGGTAGCGCTCCTCATCGTCGTCGGCAAGAGTCTCCATGTACTCAGCGACGTGGCCACCGTAGATGTAGTTGCGGAGGACATCAGCGTCGAGCTCCTTGGTCTCGATGTCGTAACCGGGGAATCGCTTCTCGGAGTGGGGGACGAGGATACCACCGTCAGAGGCACCCTTCATGGCACCAAAGACACGGGCACCGGTGGAGGTGCGCTTCAGGCCAACGTCGAGGAAGACCTTGAAGGGGCGGCGCTCGCCATCGTCGGTCTCGGCGGCCTCGGTGAGGGTGAACTCACCATCGGCCTCCTCGACACCGGTGAAGTCCTCGTCGAGGCCGAGCTTCTTGAGGGCGCGGCGGGCGATGAGGAGACCGGTGGCGTAGGCAGCGGCCCAGTTGGTCAGACCGTGCTCGATACCGTAGGCCTTGAGCTCGTGCGAGTAGGCAGAGACGAAGACCTTGTCGCCAGAGATCTCGGAGGAGATGATCTGGCAGATGATGTCCTTGTTGGTGAAGCGGACGACGAGGCGGTACTTGGGCGCATTGTACTTGTTCTTGGCCTGGGTGATGAGGCGCTTGCGGGCGTAGTAGTCGGTCTTGCCCTGCTGGCGGCGCTTGTACTTGGTTTGGTAGCGGCTGATATGGTCAGTATGATTTCGTCTCCAAAGTAGGGCGAAGCGGGATAACTCACCTGTAGTACGCGCTGTTCTTGACCAACTTGTGGAAAACCTATCGCACATCCCCGAGTCAGCAATTTGCGCTTCAGATTTGCTCATCCTCCTTCCGAAGCAACTTGCTGTGACTCTCGTCGAGCAATTGGCATTTCTGCCAGGAATGAAAACATCTAGAGGAGTCCTCTGCTGAGCGACTCCCCCGAGATAGGCCTCAACTTACCATCTTGACGGTATTTGCCAACGACGACGTGTGATACTGAGGTTGGAAAGTTGATGGAGGGATTCAAAATCGGGCTGGTGGGGGATAATACTTTTCTGTGCCCTAATGAATCGCCAAAATCGCTTAGCTCGTGCCTGTGGACCTGGGTTGGGGACGAGGCACGTGATCCAAGACTCGGTCCCGATAAGAAGGCCTTATCTTAACAATTTTCCCCGCTGAATGCTGGGGAACCCATGCCGAGGCTTGTGGGTGGGGTTCCTCGGAGTTGAATGTCCCAAGGTCCGGCTTACACTTGGGTGCCATCGTTCAAGAGTAACACAGATTTGACTCCAAGACTTGACCGCCGATTTTCTGAACTATCATCATCATTTACAGTAACTAATCTCAAATTCTGTCCAGCAAAGATGCCAGAAGAAAAGCCCAAGGTCCTCCTCTTTGACATTGGAGGTGTATGTGTAAGTAAACCCCGGTGACATCAACACTCTTGACATTCCCCTTTCCGTCTCTTCCGGTTGTTCAGAGCTTTCTTTTCCCATACAAAATAGCGAATTCGCAAGGTAATATCTTTCCATGCTAACACCCTCCAGGTCGTGTCGCCGTTCCAAGCTATCCTGGATTATGAGTTGAGCTTGGGTATCCCCCCTGGATGGGTCAACTACTCTATATCCAGCACCGCCCCCAATGGATATTGGCATCGGTTAGAGAGGGGAGAGATATCCATGGACGACACATTTTTCAGCGGATTTACCCAGGACCTTCATGACCAAACCAGATGGGAGGCGTTCTACAAGAGAGAACAGGGCAAAACCCCCAAGCTATCGACAGAGACGCCTCCTGTTCCCGATGTCGATGCGAAATGGTTGTTCAACGAAATGATGACCGTCTCTAGTAGCGCCGATCCCTGGATGTACCCAGCGCTGAAGAATCTCAAGGAGAGTGGACAATTCATCCTGGCCGCACTCAGCAACACGGTCATTTTCCCTCCAGGTCACAAGCTCCATGTCGAAAACTTCTTTGACGAACCCGTACGGGCGCTGTTCGATGTCTTTGTTTCTTCAGCTCACATCGGAATCCGTAAGCCGGATCCCAAGATGTATCAATTCGCCCTCACGCAGATTCGCGAACACGCTGAGACCTATAAATGGTTGCCTCGTGGTCAGGGGCTGGGCTGGGATGAAGGCATTACGGCTAGTGATGTGGTGTTCTTGGACGATATTGGTGAAAACCTAAAGGAAGCGCGCAAGCAAGGATTTCGAACAATCAAGGTTAACCTGGGGAGGGCGTTTGAGGCTGTGGATGAGCTGGAGCGAGTGACTGGCCTGAAGCTCGCTGGCGACCATCCAAAGATACCCGTGGAGCCTAAATACCACCAGGCGAAGGCGAAGATGTAAGACGATATCATAATGGGGTTGGAATTAGAAATTAGAAACTGAGTGAGATGCGTCGTATCTCAAATCTTTCGGGCAACATAGACGTAGAGAGTGTCAGACACTTCAATCTTGCCGTTGACTGCAGCATTCTCCCACTCTTGTTGGAACTTGTCTCTACCACTAGCTCTCAGTGTGTCTGCAACAGTCGTTCCAGCAAGAGGGCCGTTCAAGATTTGATCGAACTGCGCATCGGCCTGGTCGAGGTCGAGGTACGTGTTGCCGAGACCCAATGCCTTTTCCACAATCTCTACCTTTTCGACCACAAAGCCCTGTCGTTCTAGTATCTCGCTGAAGGAGTCTTTGGACTTGATCCAGGTTCTATTCGAAGGGAAAGGGAGACCCAAGTTTCTAGCGACTTTTTCCACCAAGAGGCCTGAGGGAAGATTTTGCTCGTGAGTGATGTCGATGACGACTCTGCCGCCCGGCTTCAGATACTCGCGCCAATGGGCAACGACTTGCTCTGGATGTTCAAACAGGACAAATGCGTTTGAACAGAGAATGAGATCGAAGCTATCCTTTTGCACGTGTGGACATCCGATCAAGTCGGTAACATCGTGCTGAACCAACGTAAGGCGGCGAACCAGAGGTGGGTTGTCTTTGAGCTTCTCCCGCGCCTTGTCGAGCATGGCAGCTGTGGCATCGACACCAACGACAGTGCCTTGGTCGCCAACTCGTTCAGCTGCAATTATGGCATCCAAACCAGTGCCGCATGCCAGGTCAAGGATGCTATCGCCGGGCTTGATGGGTGCTACATCTGTGAAGCGTTGGCTGTATTCTGGGTGCCAGGAGTTCTCGTAGTCGGTTGCCCGCAGGGTATACATGCGCTGAGCCGAATCAACCTGGGTCTCAAAGGAAGTCATCGTGTTTCTTGGGTATGCTCCGGATTGTATGCTCTTGTTTGATCGGATTGAGGGGTTGATGAATTGCAGCGATAAACTCTATATTTGTAGTTCGAAGCGTACTTGAACGCTGCTATAGTAATCAATCTTGGTCATGACTGACGGTGACTTGTCAACCCGAGTTCGGCGTATTATTGAGCGAATTGACGCTTGTTCATGTAGTTGATTGGTTTCTGATCACGACATTGTCTCTAGTGATGGTTGAGTCATCAAGAGTCACTGGACTGAGGGAATTCCATCTCCATCGGACATGCATACTCTTCACATCCCGATGCTGTCTTAAACAGATCTATTGTTGGATAATGATAAGATGAAAGTGGAAGAACTCATGGCTTCTATTCTTGCGCCATCTTCTCCACTTTCCGCCCTTCCCGCAACGGCCCGCTCCCCCGTGCTTGCGATGGCTTCATAAACGTCACCTTGTACAAGGAGATGGCATCTAGATTCGGGGTCGAGTTTCAGCAGATGGGCTAACAATGTCGCAACGCAAGGCGCAGTCAGGGCGAGTGTGCAGAAAATGTGCCTCGCCTCGATGCGGGTGCAAGGCCTGAGACCGGGGTGCCACTCTGGGGCTGAATCACTAGCCAAGACTCATTTCCTACACTTACAACTAACACACGAGAATAGAACAAACAATACTCAATATTCAGAGTACTGTTAATGTTTGAATGTCGTTTTCAAGAGAATATAAGATGCTCATACTCGGGACGAAATGAAGCCTCATGGTCGACAAAAGCTATCTATCCATCCCCCACGAGAAGCGATGCTTGAGCTACCAACCAACACCTGTTGGCTCAGCTCCCTCTCTGTTACGAGTCTTCATGCAACCATCACGAGGGGCTCCACCCAGCTGATCCCACCTCCCCATTCTGGCCAGCATCAAGACCCAAGTCGAGACAGTCAGGAGGCCCTCCAAGCAGGCTTCGCCTCGATGGGCGCTTAACCCCCATCTCGGGGTAGGCAAAGGTAGGTGCTATATATCGTCGAGTATCTGCGGGAATGTTGGCATAGAAACCATCACCAACCTCCTCTTATCCAATCTTCTTATACCGTGTACACAATGGCCACTTCTCCTTCTGTTACAACATGGCCTGCCACGGCCTCCGCTCTGCGGGAGCTGCTCGGCATGGATGCCTGCCACAGCATGACGTGCCATGGCAAGACCCAGAAGAAGGACAACCCACGGTGCACTGTCATTATCAGCAAGAAAGACTGTAATGAAGCGGCCAAGCTGCTCGACCAGATTGTCGAGCTTGGCAGTTTCAAGGCTGCTCAGTCAATCCTCTCTGATCTCGCATATCTGATCATGTGCAAGAACAAGAGGATAGGCCATGGGGACAAATTTGGTCCCTCTCAGATCTCGAAGTGGAGAGTCAAGCTTGAGTCAATTCCGATCCCTTCGGTCGAAAATGAGGAGCAAGAAGAGGATGCTTCATCAGAAGACGAAGCTGAGGATGACTCGCCAACACCTCCCTTGTCAGTCTGGCATTCAGATTCCGAGACTGACGAGGACACTTCCACACAAGAGGACACCCCAGACTTGGCCTCCCAGACACCTCCATCCACATCCGACTCCCGCAAGACCACCAAGGAAACCAAGATCGTTCACAAGTTCGAGCGATACAGCATTGTTCGGTCAACAACATTCATCAACAAGAAGATCAGAAAGCTCTTGCTCCGTCCACTTCTAGACCGCGAGAAACAGGTAGACGGATACATATACACCTACACCTTTCCCGAAAGCTACCACGACGCGGCGCCCTATCTCAAGATAGGCTACGCAAAGGATGTCCAGGCGCGCATGTCTTGCTGGGAACGCCAGTGTAGATACCGCCCCAAGGTCCTAGTCCAGCAGAGCGCCGACCACTACGTCAAGATTGAGGGGCTCGTCCACGCACAGCTGATCAACCAACGCAAGGTCGAGGCAACGGGCTGCCCGGTGTGCAGCGTCCGTCATAATGAATGGTTCAGCGCCAGCTCGCTTGACGCATCTAGGGCTGTGAGCCTCTGGGCGTCATGGATGAGGCAGATGCCCTATGATGAAGAGGGGCAGCTGAAGAGCAAGTGGAAGGCCCGTATCGAGGGTCTTGACATGAGTGATGCTGCTTGTTGGGAAGAGTTGGTGAATGCCATCTATGTTGACGACGAGGATGATCTCTCTGAAGAGGATGAGTTTCAGTGGTCAACTGACGATGAGTCTCATCACTCTGCAGAGGAGTACGAGATTTATGAGAGTGAAGATGAGTATGGTGACAAGAGCGGATCAGATGATGAGGAAGAATGATGATGGATGTGAAACGACGCTTGAGATGATGATTGTACGATGTACGCGGCAATGTCTGGAGTTTTGGTTGGGTTGGCTTTGTTTTACTCTAGATTTCTTCTGTTATGATACCCCATAAAGTTATTGATTTACATATTCACATATACCATGCGATCCGATATAAGACATCAAATTGACTACCATCCAAATGGTCGAAAGTTCCATGCAATATCATTCAAGAGCCCCCCAAGCCGCGTCATGCCTTCTTCAGTCTCGCCATCTCTTTCTTCCATCGAGAAACCATGCATAGAGGGCATCTTGTCAGCATATTCCCCTTCCAGCCTTGTCTCATACCACTCCTTCAGTGGCCGCGTCTTCGTCGCCAACTCCCCCAACGTGCTATCCTCAGTCATTTCCTCTTCAGAGAGCGTATCTCCCGTCACTGCAACAAATTCTTGCATCGCCTTGATGTTCTGTGTCTCTGCTTTCTCAATATGCGCCTGTATCTTTCCTAGCACGGTGCTTAGGTTGAGTGTTTGCCGGGCGGCCGCGGGGTCCCAACCAGGGGCGTCGATGAGCAGCAGCCGTGCCGCCAGAACCATGACAAACGCCGCTTGGTCAGTGGTTATAATAGCACGGTTTAGTATATCCTCTGGTGACGAGGAGAGTAAGAGGTCAAAGAATGACCGTATGGCGTCGAGACAGTTGCGGAGGCAGATCAAAAGATACACGAACGGGGCGACGCCTTCGTCTGGATGATCCGCCACCATAACGGCAGGCTCATAAAGACGCACCAGAGTATACTGGTGATAAAGCTGGAAATTTTGATGATGGCTTGCAGAATCATTCCGAGTAGCTACTTCAGCAAGACGTTCCAGATCAGCTCTAAAACGACGCCCATTGCCTTCAAGGAGAAAAGCATAGGGTCTAGAGAGGGTGCGCTCATGTGGTTCGCCAAAGCCTTTTGATAATCTTTCGCTCATTTCAATAAATCGTACGAGATGTTCCAGGGCGGGGCTAGATGTCGGGCTTTGAGACGCTGATATGTTGTTGCAGCAGATATCAATATGTGCTGAGTCAAGGGGGTTGCTCCGAGACTGTTTGGTCGAGATACTTGAATACGTCAGTAGTTTTCTGTTGGATACTCATATTTTACACTTACACTGAAAGAATGCAGTAGAGTCCAAGAACACAACGTTGCTCATCCAGAGAATGTGTCTTTACTACTTGTCGCATCTTTTCTGTCAGGCCCGAGGTCCCTGACTGATTGGCGATGTTGGCCTGCTCAGGCAATGGTGAGGACATTTGAGTAATTCCTAGCTTGTGCGCATATCCGAGACCAAGAAAAGCCAGGTTCGTAACCTGTCCTTCGTCGATGTAGCAAGTGTGCGCCCTGTTTATCCGTATTAGATATAAGCAACGTAGTGCAAAGTGGATGAGCATCTTACCAAGCGGTGACAACTAGCAGGCCTTGAAGTAGATCCGGAGTCTTTTCTTCCTCTACCAGCATTCTATAGCCTAGGTACGCAAGCGTGTTGCGTTTCATCTTGACAACTCTTGATCTAGGCAATGGCGAGGCAACAAGCATGATGGCTCGAAACAAGAAAGGCTTCTCCTTGTATAAGTCTTCGGCTGCTGAGTCTTCCTTCACAGTTATAAAGGGAAAGTGCAGTGTATGGTTACGGCGGAAAGTAGTCAAAGCGAGGGTTGCTTGAGGCCATGAAAGCCCAAACGGAGGTTGTAGAGTCTGGGAGTTCAGTGGAGAATCGACCTGCGTATTATTATTAACCAGGCCTACAGCACCTCTTTCATGACCTTCAGTGCCTATGATCAATCAGTTGAATCTATTAATTACGGGATCTTGCTTAGGTAGAAAAAGGCGTTACATACCGTTATTCTCATGCCCCCCTGAGACGGAGTTTTGCTCTAGGGTAGTCGAGCTTGAAGCAACATCAGATACCCATTCTCATAAATCGACTGTATTTAAACCATACCTGTCACTCATTTTTATCTTCCTAGACTTTCTCAAGCTTCTCGTAGTCTGAGGTACGCATTCTATATTCATGCTCTGGCACCTTTTCCACGTTAGCTACACGCTCTCGACGAGTAAGTGGTGGGGAGTGCTCACCTATCACAAAGATGGCGCGCAACATTCTCTTGCTGAAAACGACATTTCGCCTTCGCCTTTACACAAGAGACGCACGATCTGAGCCGACGTGGCGGACTAGAGGATCTTTCCGCCATGGTCGGTGAGTATTTCGAGGATTGTTCTTGGATGGTGCTGAGGTCAGTCAGCAAGTGGTACCTATCCAATGGATATCTAGATTCGGACCAAGCTTAACCCGGCGTGACCTTCAGGGATAAGATATACTTGGCGTTCCACTTTGAGACTGTGACCATTCAGGTATCTTCTATCGCGCACTAACTGCCCAATATCCTGCCAACTCAACACCAATATCAACGTTTTCCAGTCCAGTCGCTTGCATCTCGCTTGTTGTCTCGCTATCGCTTCGTGCTTTTATTCGACTTTCCCAGCCTCAAGTATATACGAGGCCAGAATCTCTATACCTCACCACCCGCATAACTAATACAATACCAAACATGTCCTGTGAGCCATGATGCATAACGAGGAACAATGCCCCGAGGCTGGTCCAGGGTTCGACCCCCTTCCCTTCCTTTCCTCTCGCTTTGAAAACGCCAACGCCAACCCTGAATCAAACTGCAGTGGTATCTGTTTGCAAAACACATTCTTCCTGACCTGTCACAGATGCCCTATATCTCCAAACGCCGCACCCAGGGCCCAAATCTCCATTGGACTGCTCTTGCTTCTTCTCCACTCGCACATATCCGCCTTTTGCACCTTGTTAATCGTCGTCTAGGATTTCAATCACGGTCGGTCGTGCCGGCATGGTGGATTCGGACCGCCGGGTATCCCTTTTGCTCACTGTCAGGGGTCTCGGCGCAGGTGACTCGTCATCATCAGTGTCATCTGGCTCCTCGACAGCACACCACGATCCCGTGGCATCTATGGTGATGGCCTTTGTCCGTGTGTCACCATTGGCCACCAAAACCTGTCTAACTCCGACAAGGTAGTCGTCAACCCAAAGACTGCTGGGGCGGGCATCCTGCCCACAGATTGGGCATTTCCACACATCCACGAGCGAGGGCTCGTCCCCTACTTGCGACGCCCCCCCTCCTTGTTGTGCCGGTTTCTGAGGCCGCGTCTGGAGCCATGTCTCCAAGTCGAAGCACTCGAGGTGTTGGCAATTAGCTCCTCGAACAGGAATGTTGAATCTAGTGGCACTGAAAGGGTCTGCCAATGAGACTGACAGAGTCTCATCCTCGATGATGACATCGTCAGAGTCCGAGCCGCGTAGTCGTCCTTGTATCTTCCGCTTCGTATCCTCCATTGGAATTCTTCGTCCTGTCTCGATCATCTTCATGGCAGAATCGTGGCTGATGGTCTCCACAATCTCAACTGCCATGAAATAATTGACGCCCAGTTTCTGATTTTGTGAAGTTTGAGGAAAACTGAATCTTAAACTGTTCTCGCCCTCAATCAAGAAGTCGGTCAGCTCCATCGGCTGATCCTTATGGAAGTGCTGCTTTCGACGCAACTCCATGCAGGTATGGTTGAGATCGAAAAAGATGTAAGGAGGCCACTGTGCTGCTGCCAGCACCCAATCTGCCTCTTGAACCACTGTCTCCTTGGCAGACCGCGCGCAGGTACGAAGTCTGTATCGGCAAGAGCCTTCAGAGTAATAGCAGTATGGGAGACCTTCTCCTTGAGTCTTCCTGGCAAGCCTCCGCATATGATCATTGGGCACGTTGAAACTCAATATTCGTAGACCTGTTTGTGGTGCAATCAACATGGGTTGAAGCGCAAACTGCTTGATGTATTGGTAATAACGAGTGTTCGCCGGTTGTGCAGGGACGCGCCGAGGGCTACGCAGGCCAACCTTGTGCAGACCAACCTGGAGCGACACTCGCCCATACGGGCTCATTGGGTACTCTGTCTCAGGGATTGGTGCGAACGCCCGCCTTGGCGGAACTGGTTGGCGGACACCAGGTGTTTGGTATGCTTGATGCTGCGGCATCAATGCTTGTACTGGGTGAGGGTAGTTTGGTGAAGTGGGTGTCAACACGGCGTGTTGCATGTGGGGAGGAGGTTGCATGGCTTGATGGGGATGCATCATCTGGGTATGAGGATGTGCCATTGGGGCTGGGTTCATGACTTGACGAGGTCCAGGTTGCGGAGCTTGTTCAATATAGTGAGGCTGGGCCGTCGGAGGATGTTGCAGGTAACCCCCCTGGGCATTTGGAACTGACTGCGACGGGTATGCAATAGAGGCTGCTCTCCTTTGCGGATTGAATGGTGGTCCATTTGATAGGAGAACAGGAGCCTGGAGTTGGCCCTGGGAGGGCAAGACAGGCGTTTGCGGTGTACTCTGAGATACATTCCTTGAATGTGATGGTGAGGGCCCAACGCTGGCCGCCCCAGGTAAGGACGGTGGTTGAATCCGTGGGGAGTAATAGTTGGTAGCAGATGGAGGCGGAGCTATCCGAGGATCGGCTGGCACATAGTTTGGACCAGGCCTTCGATGCTCCTGGAGGGCCGGACTGCCCGGCGGAGGATGCTGGTTGGTGATTGCTGGACTTGACACTCTGCGATCGCTAATCGAGGGCCGCGGGGCCAATGCGTCGAATTGAGGCACTGAGGAAGATTGCGCCAACGCCGGTGATGTTACCGCTGTGTGAGATGGGACTACAGGCGATTGAGGCACTGAGCGTTGTCCGCGTCGTTCAGCTACCGGGGCAGTGTGAGTGATTGAAGGAGAGAGCATTGCATCTATGCGTTCGAGGAGAGGTTAGTAACCAATACAACTGTAAGAAGGGATATGCAACGTACTAGATGGGAGTTGCTGCTGCTGTCGTAATTGTTGATGCTGGATTTGAATCTGGTGACGCTGATGTTCTTGCAGTACAAGACTTGAGTACTGGGCTATGATCTGAGACCGAGCTTGGTTGATCCTCTCAGAAGTGTCGCCGCGATCGACCGCAGCAGCTTCATTAGCTCGATCCTTCTCAAAGATGTCGTTTATCGCATTTGCTACAGGGCCGTCTTTAATGCCGAGCCATCTGCGACTCATGGTAAAGAACATGGCCTGCAGCCCCTGAGAAGGGCAGCGAAGTACCTCGATCAGCTCGCAGGCAAGAAGCGGATGCATCCGGGCTCCGACGGATTGAATGAGATTATACCAATTCAATGAGAGGTGGACGAGAAACGTGCCAATGTCCTTGGCCAGGGCGGATGGATGAAATACTCTCAAGACTTCCGCCAGAGGAACAGGAAAGTTGGCAAACCATTCCAGATGAGAAACTGACATGGCTTGGTTATTTCTGAGGACGGTCTGTAATGTTTCAAAGGAACCATCAACTTGACTAGGGTCGACTAGACCCTGGAACATCTTGTGGACTGGTGCTTTATCCAAGGACCAGGCACAAAGGATTTGATGAAGTGCGATGTAGAAGTGATCGGTATTGGCACATGCTTCAATCAAGATCCTGTAACGAGGTTTCTCGACATTGTCATTCAGAAGTCCCGCGCTATCGCATTCTTTCACGCGGCTAGTAATGGTTTCTTTCCATTGCATAGACAGAGTCTGGTTTCTCAACTCGGTGGGTGTGAGCGGCCCTTGAACACGGGCGCGCTTCGCCCGATGTAGATGTACATCAGAGTTAGGTCCATCGGTCCTTGCCCTGGGTTCTGAAGGCGCAACAACGTGGATCTGCGTGTTTGCTGGGAGAGATGCTGGTAGAACCGCTGCTCGGTTGACCAACGCAGCTGGAACCTGCGCGTTGACTGGGAAGGATATCGGCAATGTCCCTACTTGATTGACTGAGACAGGCGGGGTAGAGTCAACGGTCATGTTACGGCTCGGCGGTTCGGTTGGGGGTGGATGAGGAGGCGCAGAATTCGAGTTGTGCTCCTGGAGAGCCGGAACAGTATTTGTAATGGGTACCGCGCCGTCTCGGTCCACGCCGTTAAGGAGAGGGTGCCTCGATGCTGTGCCCTCGGGGTGGGCGGTTGGCAAAGTGTTGGCGCAGTCGTGCTGGTTTGCAACATTCGGGCTCGGTGCGTCAGTCAGTGCTGGGGAAGGAAGGACAGTTGAAGGTCTAGAGAGTAAGTTAGCGAGAACGACAAGTCTAAGAACGCTTGTGCCATGTATTGCGAGCTAGACAAGCTAAGGCTGCCAAGCGACACTAGGTTATTTTCCCCAGACCAAGCGTGACACAAGGCCTGGATGAAACTGCGACAGAAAGGGGAGAGGATTCTTCCTGTACCTAATCGTTTCAACAGAAGCTGTCGGCTGATCAACAACGTGACCGATGGAAATGTTCTCATGCTGTGGAGCAGTCTCGTTCGGGGTAGGCAGGAGAGCGGTGGTGACGGGTTCGGTAGCGGGCTCTGCTGTTGCTGTTGGGCGTCCTCGCTTTCGAGGTTTGACCTGGGAGGGTCTGGGGGCCGGCCTGGGAGCGAAGTCTGTAGATGAGCCGGTTGTCATCCAAGAATGATTGCGACCGCCGAGGAGCAAGTTAAGAGTTTCATTTGACGTCGCGATCTGATGGGATTCGGAGGGAGGGACGGCCCTTGGCTGGATTGACCTGGAAGTTTGTGGCATTTCACAGGTTGGTGATATCTGGGGAGGTTCTGGGGAGGCGATCGCGTATTAGCCCGGGAGAATGTCGTAGTAGAGACGAGATCGTGAATACCATTTGGATGTTATCTGGGGATCATGCTCAACGTCGTCGCTTTCTAAAGTCCAGAGCCGACAGGTTAATCATGATTCACCGAATGGTTGCGCGGAGAGCGAGGGTGTCAGCGGCGACGTGCTGGCGATCGCGAAGCCGGGGCGAGTAAATCGAGGCAAACGTGTCGAGGATCAAGTCGTCGGCGAGTGAGGATTGGAAGAGAAAGAAAACTGTTGCAGTGTGGTGCGAAGGAAGGTGGTTGAAGCGGCAAGCGGCAGGCGGCAGGCGGAGAAACCGTGGGAGACGAACGCGGCAAGTCCAGTCAAAGGGTGCAGTGCAGCGCAGTTGCAGCGCAGTGCAGTTGCGACCCCGGGCGAGGGGATAGAACTGGAAGGAACCAAACGGACGGGGACGGGGAACCTACAGAAAGGCAAGGGTGATGGAGCAAACAAAGAAGAAGAAGGGCTTGGGCAAACGCGATGTTCTCTTAAGCCATTAGCTCGCCCATAAGCCGTCAGCCGGAAGACGGCTGATGCTCGTTGTGACCCTATTCGCCTGGTTGGTCTTGGTGCTGCAGTGTTGGAGCAGGAGCCCGTTTGTATGCTCGCCGAGGCCGTCCTGCGATTGGGCTGACACGGACACTGTGGGTGGAGATATTTTCTTTGGGAGGGGATGTAGCGGGGAGATGGGGTCGGCCAAGATCACCAACGCCTCACGACACTTGTGAGGTGGGTGGGTGCTGCAGGTAAGGCAGACTGATTTCTTTCGTCTTGAAATATTTACTCAAATGGAGGTATACATGGCGTTTGATCTTCCTCCCATCTTTGAAGGTATATATCCAGTGTTGAGCCAACGACTTCTTTGTCTCAAAAGCCATCCATCCCCTGACTGGTCCGGATCTACCTGGACAAGGTGTACGTATCGAAGGCAGACAAATCCACTTACACACATGATTGTGAATGTATCAAATTTCAAGTTTATCACACGCACAATTACATAACGAAAATATTCCTCCAGGTGACGAGAACAAAACGCGAAAACCCCCCTTCTCAAATAGGAGGACCTCGGATAACTGAGTCGACGCACTCGAGCCCACTTGAGCGTGCTTGGCTGCTATGTCTTGCTTGATTCCGGCATGCGAGTTGTAGATGCAGGACTGGTGATGGTATCCACTTGGATCGGGTAGTGTGGACACGGATGTAAAGTCCATGATTCGTCTATTCCCGTGTTTCGATGAAGATCTAGGTTTTCCCAACAACTGCTCCAACTTGGTTGTCTCGTGTCTGTCGATATCGGGTGTTATCAGGAACGCTGCTGTCAATGGCGTCTGACTCGCTCATCCACTGAAACGCAAAAAGGCCTCGCACCTGAAAAGACCGAGCGAAAAGGCGCAATTACCCCTGCTATGATCTGACAGTGTTTGAAGTCGATCAAACAACCAAACTCCAGGCATAATAGAGTTATGCCGGACGCTTCGCTTCCATGACCCCGGCGAAACAAGACCATCTACGGGTGCCCAGACGCTACCTGAAGTTGTGAGCATCAGAGTCAGGTAAGTTGAGTTGAGTTGTTGGGGGCCTCACTGAGGGTGCAAAGTGCAAATGCACAGCTTATCCCGCGGGCACTTTCTCCCCTTGTGCCTGCCTGTAGGCTGTCTGCTCCGAGTAGGTACTGTACCTAGATGCGGCAGGAACGGGCAAAGTGATAGGCAGGCACCACGATGTTGCAGTCAGTCGCTCGTCCATCCATCCATCCACTACGAAGGTCCGAACACGCCGGGCATGTCATGTCCTTCCTTCCATTCAAGATTTGCAGTCCCGTAAAAATTCTTTATTGAATCCCCGCGATCGATACTAAACCTGAAAACTCTTCACTTTCTTTCTATCTACCTTCTTGCTGCCTACCTCTACCTCCACTACCTAGACATCCTCCTCCTCCTCTAGAAGTGCACATTCAAAATACGAGCTTTTCAGCTTCAGTCCCGGCCCGCCTTCTGTACAACACTGCGCGGTGGCCTTTGCCATCATCAGCGGCTCGTTGCGTCACCCTCACTCGCTAGCTGTACCACGTCTCCTTTCCCAATCTCCTGTGGGTTCAGCAACCCCTCGTCGCCATTCGCGTCTTTCGTTCTCGAATCAACCTATCTCGTCCTGTGCGCGTCCATCTCAGCTCTGCCAAATCACAGAGAACCACGGCTCGGCTCATCAACAACGCTTTATTCTGTCCTGATTTCACCACAAGCCCACTGTGTTGGCATTACATCCCAAAATAGAATCTGCAAAGGTTGGCCGCATCACCCAATCCCGGATACCCCCTGGAGTGGAGGAGCCCAATGCACCTCTGAAGCAACAAAACCTCTTCCAGAACCTTGCAATTGCCGAGGAATTCTGCTTTCAACAATTTCACGCTTCTGACGGGCATTTTCAGGTCCAGACAGGGTCCAAACTATCACTGCTATCTCCTCCCTCGTCTTCACCCTTCACGCCCTTTTCAATATCCCATCCACTTGCTTGATCACATCCAGCCCACCTTGATAAAAAAGTCATGAACAACTCGGGTCGCACCAATCGCAGCCCTCCACGCTAGTTCCTCTCTCGCCCTGTCCAGGGACCACGGTCCTCTCCCGCCTCCCCAACCGCCGCTCCACTACCTACAGCAAAGCATACCTTAGCGTACCATTCGACTGCACCACCACAGCACCACAGCCACAGCGAAGCTCAGAGCACCTCAGAACCCGACAGCGCAACTCCGTCATCTCCAGCCATCCCGCCGGAGTGCGTCAACCAGGCAGACAACCCGTCCTGGCAATACAGGCTCGACGGATGGCGTCTGTTGAGCGTCTTCACCAACTTGCTTCTCCCTCCACCCACGGATAGACTCCTTAGGCCTCCCCCTCGGAACCGCGCCACCGTTCGGGCAGAGTTTAAGCCGCCCTTGAACCACCACTCCGTTTCTCGGTCTCTCCGGCCTCGACCAGTTCACCATCAACAAATCTTGCCTCAACCATCACCAGCGCATCGCTCCGTCACATCATGGCCTCTAGGGGCCCTAACGAAGGCCCTCTACGGCCCGAGGTTGGCGACACCCTGATCGTGATACGTAAGCTTGCCTTCTAGCCCCTCGTTGTTTCTTCGCCAAACTGGTGATGCTGACGAATATCTTCGACATGTAGACGATTTCCAAGCTCGAAGCTCTGATGAATTGAGTCTTGCGAAAGGCGACCGAGTCGAACTCATAGAACGAGATGACGAGTTCGGCGACGGTTGGTTTCTCGGCCGCCACCTGATAAACAACAACAATGGACTTTTCCCCGAAGGTCTGCATCCCGACGCTTTCACCACTTCTGCGCGAGAAATAATTGACCATCCATAGTCTACACCAGACCCGCCCCCAGGATCGTTCCTACGAGCGCCTTTAACGCCGCTAAAGCCCCAGCTTCTCACCATGATGCAGCACAAGACTCGAGGGTCATAGGCAGCGCGGATGCAATCTCAAGGGAGGAGCCGATCCCAAACCGGCAATCCGTGACGATTCCCCAGCAGCCGGTGACTCTCCCTTTGAATAATATGAAATCGGAGCCCGTCCTGGCTTCGAGCGAACCGCCCATTCTGCCGACCTTGAGCCATCTCACCTCACCAAGTCAGGATAGCCCTGTTCTGCACGAAACCCTCAACGTTATCAACGAGCATATCACGGATTTGCGATCGCCGGCGAGCAACGGTGGACTCCGAGCAACAGCGACCGATTCCGGAAGCGAGTACAGCACGCCCCTCGACCACCGAGCGTCTTATATCCATGGCGAGGAGACTGACGAGGAAGAGGAGGACCTTCACTCGCGCGTCGAAGTTGAAGCTTGGTCTCCCGATGATGTGGCTGAATATCTCTTCACTTCAGGTGTCGAGAAGCACCACTGCGAGGTCTTTAGAGACCAGGAAATTTCGGGTGAGGTGCTTCTAGGCATGGACCAAAGCTCGCTATTTATCAAGGCGTTTGACCTCGGCTCCGTTGGCCGGCGGCTGAAAACTTGGCACAAGATCAAGGCTCTGCAAGATGAGGTGAATACTCACGGACTAGAAACGCGGCGGTCGACGCAGACGTACGGAAACGACGGCGCCGAGGAAGTGAGGCGCGTAAGGAGTCGAACAAACACGATCACCAACCGGCCAACATCCATTCAGACGAGACGGCTTTCTCTTTCGCAAACCCCCAAGGCCTCGCCGACACTTGCCACACATCACGCGCAAGACAGCACAAATCGCGCCAGCCACATCAAGAGACCGTCCGCGGCGTCTGTTAGGGAATTGCATCACTCACGCCGCCATTCTTCATCGACCGACTTCCGCAATGCTGGAACACCTGCCGCCCCCGGACTCTCTCCCACTCCTAAGATTACCAACACGGGCACCTATCCAGGAGTGGATATTACGCACAAGAAACAGCCATCGTTCGACCGGAACTGGACACTGGGGACCGCCTATTCTCAGACCTCACCACGACCCCTATCGTCAACCGGCCTCCAGGATCTTCTGAGTCCCCCTGGACCGGACGCGCACGACAATTCCTCGGTAGAGATGGATCGGGGTTATTTCTCTGGTACAGAGGTTGAAGGTAGCAGACGCCGGAACCTACTACGAAAGCGCGACAGCGGGGCAGAGTCGAGGAAGTCAAGTTATGCAGAAGAGCAAAGAGTTCGAAGCGCCACGGCCATCTCGAGGCAGTCAAGGTTCGGTAGTGTAGGATCCATGGCAGAGGGTGGTATGTCTTCAGCGGCTCAGAAGTACTATGGTATCCAGTCAGGTCCTCACCGGCGAACGGCATCAACAACTTCGGACTCGATTAGGAATTTGCCTCCAGCTGGTGAAGCTCCATCGCCCACTGTCACCAAACTGGACACTTCAGTCGGATCAGCTCGTTCAACGGCATCGCCCAGCACGGCTAAACATCAAGGATTCAACTCGGATTGGCTCGCTTCGGTGGTCAACAAGCCTATTGCTTTGGCTGGGGGCAAGGGTATGCGCGCGATATCCGACAACCTTGGCCTTGACCGATCCAAGACTGCAACACCCACAGACTCAACAACCAAGGAAATTATGGTGGAATCACCGTCACGAACCGGATCAACGACACCCTCGGCCGGAGCCAGCTTTGACCTCGAGTCTCCTGATACCGCGAAGAGCCCCAGCACGACAACAACGCAGTCGAACAAGAAGGGGGGAAAGAAGGGCAAAAAGGAGACGAGCGCCTACACGCGCGGCTTGCTCAAGATTTCGCCCAAGGAGGCGATGAAGGATGCCGATTATAGTGGCTGGATGAGGAAGAAGAGCTCAAACCTCATGACGACCTGGAAGCCGCGTTTGTTTGTTCTCAAGGGGCGTCGGCTGGCATACTACTACTCGGAGGATGATGAACAAGAGAAGGGCCTTATCGACATTTCGTTCCATCGAGTTCTCCCTGCCGATAACGAAAAGCTAACAGGCCTCCACGCCACTCTTACAAGCGTTGTCGGAGGCCAGGCAATGCCTGCTGACCCTGCTGACGCGAACCTGGATAAGGGCGACGATTCCATTTTCATCTTCAAGCTTGTCCCTCCTCGCGCGGGCCTCTCGAGGGCAGTGAACTTCACCAAGCCGACGGTTCACTATTTTGCTCTCCCCAACTTGAAGCAGGGGCGATTGTGGATGGCAGCCCTGATGAAGGCAACGATCGATCGTGACGACACCAAGCCCATCACAACGAGCTATCAACAGAAGACGATTTCTCTTGCCAAGGCCAGGCAGATGCGGCACCGCCCACCGGCGTTGATGAATCTCGATGAGGGCACTGAAGAGCATGCTGCTGCTGTTGCTGCGGCAGCGGCAGCGGCAGCGGCAGATAAGAAGGATGCCAATGGCCTAGGCATCTCATACGATGAAGCTGACAGTGGCGTTTCTGGCGTGGATAAATTGGCAGGG